CACACACTACTACTACTACTACTACTACTACTACTATTGACAGCTGCCAGAAATGGCCACACCGCTCCCCAAAGGGAGGTACTGTCAGAGAGGTTAGGGGAGAGGTAGGCAGTGCTTCAAATGGCGCTCCAGGTCCTGTCGCCTCCGAAACTGGCGTTGATTACAGACTCGGCAATGATGTCCAAAGTGCTGGCGATCAGTCACTGTAGGGCGCTTCGGGCGGGGTCCACAGCGATGGCGCTTGAGGCCAGCAGTAGACTTGAAAGTACGCTGGCAGGCAGTACACACCGGGACCTCGGCAACAGGAGGAGCATCAAAAGGCGGTCGGTCGTCACAGTTGTCACTCCCTAGGCACTTATGCACTGCAAGCCCACCCCTGCTCCGGAGCCATCTACTGCAGGCAGGACACTGCACCGACCCAGGCTGCTGTGATACGGGGAGCACACACACACACACACACACACACACACACACACACACACACACACACACACACACACACACACACACACACACACACACACACACACACACACACACACACACACACACACACACACACACACACACACACACACACACACACACACACACACACACACACACACACACACACACACACACACACACACACACACACACACACACACACACACACACACACACACACACACACACACACACACACACACACACACACACACACACACACACACACACACACACACACACACACACACACACACACACACACACACACACACACACACACACACACACACACACACACACACACACACACACACACACACACACACACACACACACACACACACACACACACACACACACACACACACACACACACACACACACACACACACACACACACACACACACACACACACACACACACACACACACACACACACACACACACACACACACACACACACACACACACACACACACACACACACACACACACACACACACACACACACACACACACACACACACACACACACACACACACACACACACACACACACACACACACACACACACACACACACACACACACACACACACACACACACACACACACACACACACACACACACACACACACACACACACACACACACACACACACACACACACACACACACACACACACACACACACACACACACACACACACACACACACACACACACACACACACACACACACACACACACACACACACACACACACACACACACACACACACACACACACACACACACACACACACACACACACACACACACACACACACACACACACACACACACACACACACACACACACACACACACACACACACACACACACACACACACACACACACACACACACACACACACACACACACACACACACACACACACACACACACACACACACACACACACACACACACACACACACACACACACACACACACACACACACACACACACATACACACATGTGCACACACACACCTCAGACCTCAGACATGCCCATCGCGGAAGCGATGATAGCGAACAGCTATGTTAGACATAGCAACTTGTGCTGGGATTACACCATTCAACAGCTTGCAAGGCTGATGAATTGACCGCCACTATTTTTAGCCTGGTATCCACCACACAGCTGTTTGAAGTGACTTTTTCTGGCCAGTGAATCCCTATTTTTCATTTCAATTTTTTCCTTTTTTTTACACACACACCACACCACACACACACACACACACACACACACACACACACACACACACACACACACACACACACACACACACACACACACACACACACACACACACACACACACCTGTCCTGTCCTGTTGAGCCACTGCCATGAAGGTTACGTGGGCCCCGGAGGGGCAGCTGAGAGAGAGGAGGAGCACACAGCCCTGTGACGATCCAGGTGATGCGGTAAGCGAAATCGGCGGGAGCAGGCGCAAACACATGTGAAACCCTGACGGTCCTGAACGGTCGGACGACTACAAGTCCGTGAGCAGCGATGACGGGCGCGGCTACGTGTAGACGCAAAGCAGCGGTCACAGGCCTGGCAGTGAGCGACGCAGCACAGCGGAGAAGCAGGCAGTGGCAGGGGCGCACCGACTGCTGACTGGGGGTAAGTACACTTGTGCCTTGCCAGACCTCCACGGGACTTCAGCCAACGGCCACACTCTCCACACTGGCATGCACCTTTCTGCTCCGCAACCGGCTTTGCACGCTCAACCTTACACTTGTGGCGTGCGCGATCACTGGGGCGTGCAAACTGTCGGTCGCAGGTGTAGCAGGTGACGGGAGGGGGGCGATGCTGGGCATCTACCGGTGCTGAGTACGCCGAGCGCCAGGTGGAACGCGACTCGCATTCAGCTCGCCATTCCCCCTCGAGGCCGCGAGAACGAAGGTCAGACATAATACAATCCTTCCAGCGCGGACGAGGGCCATGAGCTGGGCGACGGGACGGAAGCGTGCCAAAGAGAACTTGCTTCGTCAGCCGGTGGTCCTCCATCCGAGCAACATGCCCGAGCCATTCAAGGCGGCGGTGCTCCACCTTCGTGCGGATGGTGTCGGGATCACCCCACCTCACGCGTAGTTGGTGATTGGTGATGTGGTCATCCCAGCATTCTTGGCGAGACACTCCCATGATCGAGCGGATGCATCGGTGGTGGAAGACAGAGAGCCGCTGCAAATCCCGTTGAAGAGGCGTCCAACACTCCGAACCGTACAGCAAGAGCGACAAGACACAGGCGTTGAACACACACCTCTTGATGTGGAGGTCCAGGTGCTTGTTGCCAAAGATGGACTTTTGCAAAGCGCCACATGCTCGGGAGGCATTCGCAATGCGGGAGTCAACATCGCAGGATGAACGGCCGCCGTTGTGAATTACCGAACCCAGATACTTGAATTCGGTGACACAGACAATGTCGACACCGGCTAGACTGAGGGGTATGCGGTCAGCAGCAGACACATCAGCACCAGCAACCAAAAACTTTGTCTTTGTGGCACTAACCGCGAGGCCAAATTCGGACGCCGTGTTGTCAAAGCTTTGACACACACACACACACACACACACATCGCGTATTGCCGGTGGCGAGAAAAGCATGCAAATATGCAACTTCACGGGTCATAATTATGATATTACATGTGTAGGTATTACACTCCTCAACATTCGTCTTGTTGAGCACTCTCGGTAGGCTGCTCTAGTGCTTCTGCATTACGCATTGCCCGCTACTTTTCGTAGTTAGAGCAGTCTGGCGCTAGAGCCACGAGCTATCTTAAGGTTTGTGGTGCCCCATTCGCACCATGGCTAGTACTGCTGAGGCAGTTATGGCCGAAACAGCTTGCTGTCTACAGTATTGGGTAATGTGACATGTATATAATGTACTTGGACACAAGCAGCAAGATATGCAAGATATGCAAGATATGCAAGACATGCAAGATATGCAAGACATGCAAGATATGCAAGACATGCAAGATATGCAAGACATGCAAGATATGCAAGACATGCAAGATATGCAAGATATGCAAGATATGCAATATTCAACACACACTTACATTATAGATGTCGTGATATGCACTGGGTGTATCTAGGGAGTCATCAGCAACATGGAGAGCACCGTCATCACCATCATTGTCACCACCATCATCATCATCTACACAGAGGAACAGATACAGTAAAACCTGTCAAGGCGACCACCTGTCCTAGAAGACCACTGGAACCAGGACCAAGGGATGCTATTTCCAGTCAACTGACCTGGATAAGGAGACCACCTGGTAACAGAGACCACATTTTGAAGGTCCCTTGAGCGGTGGTCGTCTTAGACAGGTTTCACTGTACATGTGTACGGTTGAAGTACACACGACTGGGTAGACTGGGTAGACACTTTAGCCAGTTACTAGTAGTTGGGGTGCAAGCATGTCAACAAGGTGACTGGGGAGAAATAATTGATTAGCCGAACACCACGAGATGATCATCAGTCATGCACGCCTAGCCTAGCCTGGCTGGGGACCATGTGCTAGCAAGTCAGCTCACCCGTGACAAAAAAAAACCTCATTTCCCAATCATTGTGCTACCTCTAGAGTACCGGTATGTAGGCCATGTTGCACTAGTCCACGGTGGTCCACGGTGGTCAAACTAGCAATGGAATACCAGCATGCACTTGCATACTGCAGGCTAACAAAGACCTCTCTGTTGCCATCAGTATGGTGTTCACATAAAATTAGTTCAAGTCAGTATACAAGTAGCCAGTGAATGGAGATGTCTGATGGCACTCTGGTGATAATCGCAAGTTTGAAGGAAAGCCGGAAAAGATTCGCTGACAACTCAGCCCAGTGCTTCAACACTAACCTTCCAATGGAGCTGCAGCTTCTGCATCATTTGTTGACTCTGCTCCCACAGAGATGCCGGTGTAATCAGCAGGATCAAAGTCTTCAGGTCGTGTCTGATAACTTAGCAACATCCGAGGGCCACCTTTCTTCTTACTGCTGCTGTTGCTTGCAATATCGTCACTATCGTAATTTGCAGCAAATTCATTCGGTGGTGAGGGTGATGATGATGGTGGCGGAGAGAAACTTGGAGAGCTGGGAGGTGATGGCGATGGAGGTGGACTATAATGTGGAATACTACCACTAGCACTACCGCTAGCACCAGTGTCAGCTGTACTGTCATTGCCAGTCTGCTTAGCACTATCAGATTGAGTAGCTAGCAGTGACGATATAGCAGTAGTGGCAAAGTCACTGATGTCAGGTACTATGACGACATTTAGCAAAGGTTCAGTTTCCTTGCTGCTACTACTACTACTAACGTTACAACCAGCACCATCATCTTTACCAGTCTTCTTCCCACTATCTACTACAAGAGTTGGCTGAGGTGTGCTTGCCACTGTCCCTTGCTTGCTACTGCTGCTGTTATTGCTAGCTGATTCTATAGCAAACGGATGGCTTGGTTTTGCCCGCACCGCCTCTGAAGCCAGGTTCAAGGATGGCTGACTAGCTTCGCTGGCGGTCGATGCTGCTGGCTGCGGACAATCCACTGCAGCTGCCGTTGCTGTTGGCTCCGCCACAGCTACCGGTTTCTTGGGAGATGATGGTGTGTGCTGCAAGTAAACACAGTAAACAGATTACACCGACATTTATCACTCAACACATTGCAGTCAAGCTTAGAATCAAATCTCATCAAGCAGGTATTAACACACTCAAATCTCATCAAGCAGGTATTAACACAAAGAAGAAGGAAACACTTCAGGTTCTTCAACAACATCTTGAAACGGTTTCAGTAGTATAATTTCATTTCCAAGCCTTCAAGCAGGTAAAAACTGGGTAATGATATGCTTTGCAATACTCAAACTCAAAGCATTTGGATGTTGGCATTTCAAACACACAATGCATATATCCAAATGCAGTGGGTTTTTTCTTTCTTTTTGATCACATTCAGACCACATCTGGGCTGTTCTTGTACATCACAACTATAGTCCAGTGTAGTCACATATCCTAACAGAGCATGTGCTATCCTATTTTATTCCCGTAGCTATGCAGAAGACGTTACTTCAGTAACGTCTGGCGCTAGCCAGGGTCCACACAGCTTTAATTTGGTGTTTGTTTGTTTGTTTGTTTGTTTGTGTCACGCCTGGCGCTATCCCGTATCTGTCTCGTACCGTACCGTACCATCAAACACAGCTGGCCACATACATCTGGCCACATACAGCTGGCCGCACTATTCAAATAGGGCTTTCAAACGCCAAATCATAACGTGAAGCAACTACTTGGAAGAATGGGTATGAATGTGAAGTGTATGGGGGAATGCATGTAGGGCGATAGTGCAGGTTCGAATCCCAGGTAATGCCTGAAAAAATAGGAAAATTGAAAAATTTATAACATCTCTATTCTTTTTTGCCGTCATCAAGGCGGTTGATGGTGTCGTATTACCCTCGACCGTACCTGTCCCGTACATGTCCCGTACATGCCCCGTACCTGTCCCGTACCGTACCATCAAATCAAAGACGGCTGGCCACAATGCATATTCAAATAGGGCTTTCAAATACAAGATCATAACGTGAAGCAACTTGGAAGAATTAGTATGTATGCGAAGTGTATCGGGGGATGCATGCAGGGCGATAGTGCGGGTTCGAATCCCAGGTTATGTCTAAAAACAAAAAGTAGAAATTTATAAGAATTTATAACATCCCTATGCTTTTTTGTCGAGGTCATCAAGGCAAAAAAGCATAGCGTAGGGCCCTGAGCTTCCAAGCTCTCTCGTTTGTGTAATGAGATGATTGAGATCCTCCAATCCGCATTTGCATCATAGTAAAAAGAAAAGATATTGAAATTTCATAAAATGAAGAGGTGAGCAAGAAATGCAAGGTTAGGTGCCTTTGTGTTGTCGGTCTACCATCAGCATTCACTCAACAGTCCAATCATACCTTTTTCGTTGAAGAAGCACCAGCAACACTGGCAGCAGCACTAACATCAGCAGCAACACCAGCACCGTCGCCACTAGCAGTATCTCCACTATGATCATCTTCAGCAGCAGCATCAGTGGCTGAACTCTCCAGACTATTAGTGCCTGAAATGTCCGCTAGGCGTGATGCCGAAGACCCTGCTACCAACACATACAAGTCATGTACGTGCATGCATACACAAACACACATGGATATCATTCGTCAGACTCAAACCTTACTCCTGGTGTGTGGCTCACCAAACTACTATTTACAAACATTTCCAGCTGAACCTTTTCAGGTACGTTATCATCGTACACACAAACTAGCAAGTAGAGGTGCAATGAAGTGCAACATTGAAATCTATGTGGTTGGTGTGTAGAGGAGAAGATAAGTCCTGAACTAGCTAAACATGCACACAACCCACTGATGATGGCACAGGCTGACACACTGTCCTAAATGTACTAGGTATGTCCAGTACTAGTACCGTGCTTCCCCACATACAAGCGCATGGAGAACATTTGCTTCAAAAAATATTTTTCCTGTGTGAACATGTTCGGGTAGAAGCCCATTTATGTGCAATAAAGGTTTGTCTGTGTCCTAAACAACGGTGTTATCACAATGCTTAGCAGTATATTCAGCTCCCAGGTGTTTCACCAATAGTGTTCACGTATAAGCGCATGCGCTTATAATTGGGGGGGGTGCGCTTATGCCCGGACATAAGCACATGCCCTTATATGTGCGGAAGTACGGTAAGCAGTGACGACAGGGCAGGGATGAGGTTTCCAGCTTTCAGCGATAATTCTGCACTGCTAATGCTATACCAGGAAAGGTCCAGGAAACACATTACTATGTTTGTAGAAATTCATTTCCACCACTGACATTGTGGTGACGGGCATACTGTCACTGACTGGAGAATGGCAATGTGTGTGTGTGCTGTTGATACAGAACAGAACTAAAATTCAAAGTGCACAGGCTGTAGAATGACTACTGTCTGTGCACTGACCTACAGCCCTAGCGTTCACTGATATCGTGTGAGATACGCTGCTACTCTACACACTAACCATGGATTTATTTGATAATAGGTGTTATTATCATGCTGTCTATTTTTTTAGAAATCCTGGCACGCCATTGTCAGATATGTAGATGCACGCAGTTTTCCAAAACCTAACTTTCACTACAAAGTATATGTACCTTTGACTTTGCCATGTTTGAAATGGCAATAAGGTCGATGGCATAGACCACTTGCGAAGAATGGACAATTCACGCCGCGGAAATAGCCTGCGCTTGGCAGCATCTCGCTTGTTGATATTCAAACGAAACGAACTTGGATCAAAAAGGTCAGGTAGTTAGTTCTTGCCTTCAAATGTTCAATGTTTATTGTGCTGAACTGCTTGTTCTTCGATTTGAACAAGGTCGGGGGTATTCATGACCCGTACTACTCACCAGTCAGCACCATCAGCTCAGGTGACGCATGCAAAACAAACTAAAAGTGAAAGCATTGTTTACTACTCAACAAACGCATTGCAATACAGCAGAACCGACCTGCAACTACTAACGTTAATATATAGTAGGGACTCTTGCCACACTCGTACCCGTGTTGGTAGTTTGTGTAAATAAAAGCATTGTGATTGTGCATTTTGAATGAAAACAGCAGAAGTCAAAATAAAAATTGTCAAGCAGCTTGGTGACAGGGCAGGGGATTTCCCCATTGTCTGTATAAAGAAAATGCAAAATAGCTGGATTTTCGACATTAATTTTGTTCCTTCCATGGCCATGATCCAGAGAATAAATCCCCGGCCCCAGCCCAGGGGCATAATAAATACTCTTGATCCTTTCTATCTTGACGACTTGAGCAACAAGAAGTACAATTTCCATGATCATGATGATCATAATATCCTACGCTAAATACAGTCGAACCTCTTTAGGACGAACACCAAGGGACCGGCGGTATTTGTTCGCAATAACGGGAGTTCTTCTTTATGTCTTGCCCAGTGAATACACAGTGATGAATCCAATAGCGCTTGAATTCTAGTTCTGATGGAATTCGCAATAAAGATTCCCGGCCATTTCCAAAACAGGAAAGGGAAAGCAAAAAAAAACATGCAACAAGTTTCAAAATAAACGCAAACTTTGAGCGCCGCGAAAGTTTATCGCTTTACACTACCAAGAGTACAACATTGTTTTATGTACTCTTGGTACTACTTCATGCTAGCTGAAAAAACCCTTCAGAAAAAAAACCCTCCAGCTTCATCCGAGGGCTATTTTTCAGCCCCATACTCCTAAACCATACATCTTCGCAACACTGTGCAAACGGTCTGGGCTACACCAATCACTGAAAAGGAATAAACTCATCCCATATTCTGCACAAGACACATCTCCAAAATTCCAAGTCGACCAACACTGTTCATATAAATGTACATGCATGAGATTTTCGTGGTCCAGCATAGCAAGCCGTGTTGATTTCGGAGGGCAGGGAGTACAAAATAAACAATATTCGTTTCAGGGACGACTAAACAGTTTTCACGACAACCCCTAACCACACAGCGGACACAAAGCAAACGGTTCACGGACTGAAATTCTCAACAGTTGTGATGGGTAGCACTTAGAATACATTACATGATATGCATATTTTATATGCTCCAGGTAGCAGCACAAAGCAGCAGGCGGCGGCGGTGGTGAGCAGCGGGTCAAGCATTGAGGCAGGTTCTCTGTGAACAGCAGCTACTTAGAATTGAGCAATGACAGCAAATGTGCAAGATGTTGCAGTAGGAGAGCCCCAAGCCGTTCCCAAGTGCATATGGCAAGACTGACCCAACACGGGCATGCGGCAATTCATGACAATTCAAACGTTGGACTGGTTGCATGTAGGAACATACCAAAGAAAGCCGACCGACGAGTCAAAAGCAGTGCCATGTGTCCCCATCAATCACATTATGCACGGTCCAGGAAAACATCCAAGGGCCGCATGAGCCTAGGTGCTGCTTTCGGCTCATGAGTCAGGATTTCTTAAGCTGTGTTCCCAACTGGTGCGTGGTTTCACGCGTACATGCGCCAGTTGTGAACACAGCTTTAGACCACAACTGCACTTCAAAGCAAGCGTACGAAAAAAGAGAGAAGAGAGGATGGAGTACATAAAAACGCCAACAGCTTGGCAGCCTTGGAATGAAGAGTTGATTTAGAGGACGGGCGATCAGCAACATCTCAACGTTGTTCAACTGTAGGGTAAAGAAACCATAGGCAGCAACAGTTACAAAGTGGTATCAGAGAAAACAGCACCGAAAATGATGCAACACCAACAAGACAGAGAGTGAGCACACAAAGCGATTTCATGTTCTAAGAGACAGAATGGGAAGACATCAGGGTGTCAAGAAAGAGAAAAGTACTTACTGTAAGTGGCCATGTCGATTTCTTCCGGAAGTTCGCTCACATCAACCTCAAATCTTGCTTGGACTTCATTCAGGACCTTGGCATCCTTCTCCTCGCTGACAAAGGTAATGGCCAGACCCTTGGTACCAAAGCGGCCAGCACGTGCAACCTACAGAAGAAAATAAGAAGAGGGGTGTTGTTGCATTTGATTGTCCGCACTGATTCCAGAAAATAAGATTTTAAATTCCTGGAGTAGTCTGACACAAAAAGGACATGCACGTCGGCAATGAATGCTACACAATGCAAACTTGTAACCAGCAATTTAGCTTCACTCCGCCTTGAGTTCTATTTGTACGAGTACTCTCTACGCATCTTTTAAAGTTAACTCCGGTGCTGGACCGAAGGTTCCACTAACTCATTCGGCTTCACAGGTACACAGGCTAAAAGAGTAATAGCAAGGATCGACAGTCAATGCCACCATGAACAGAAAAACAAAACATACGCGATGCAAGTAGGAGTCGGAGTCATCTGGCATGTCGTAGTTGAAGACGATGTTGACACGCTCAATGTCCATACCACGTCCGAAGAGGTCTGTACCGACTAGGATTCGCTTCTCAAAGTTCTTAAACTGCTGGTAGCGATTCAATCTGATGCAAAATACCACAGAATTGCAAAAGGCATCAATTGGACAGCCAGTGGAAAAAATCGAGACACACATATGCATAAGAACCAAAGAGCATTCACAAAACATGAAAGGCTCACTCCGAAAAAAAAAGCAAAACAAAAGAGTGCAGCACTCCATACATGTAAAACTGCTGATAGTTCAACGGCTCACCTCTCTTCTTGGGTCATGTGACTGTGGATAGCAATGGCTGGGAAGTTCTGCTCAACAAGGAGCTGTGCAAGTGCCATGCATCGCTGCACACTCTTCACAAAGATGATGACCTACAATAAAAAGGCAAACACCAAAACAAAAACACGTGATCACTAAAATTTAATACACACCTGTACCAAGTTCATGAAACAAAAACAAAGAAATATTTAACCAGCAGAACACAATATGCACAAGCTTCACTGTAGATAATTCCACAGTTAGAAGGGTACTCAGTATTCATATGCAGATAGTCGTTGACGACATCTAAATGTCAAGCAGCATCTGAAAATACGTACCTGGTTGAACTCCAAGACATCGAGCAGCTCAAAGAGCTTCCTGTTCTTCTCCTTGTCCTGCAGCTTGACGTAATGCTGCTGAAGACCGTGCAGTGTCAGCTTGGCTTCATCATCAACATACACTTCCATGGGCTGCAAACACATACAAGCAGGAACAAAGCCAAACCTAGAACGAAACGAGAAGCTGCCATACTGAGAACAGCCACACCAACATACTTGAAAGCACATCATTGCAAGGTGATTGCACAAGTCAGGCCAGGGACATAAAATTTCTACAAAACCATGCAGTCACAAAAGAAGTGTCCTTGACTGGAGTGAAAGGACTCATGCATACAGACAAGCCCAAGGACAATTTAAATAACACATCAATGGCGCACACAAAAGTACCACTCTGGCCAAGAACCACAAGTAGACAAGTTTCCAGTCCAGAGGTGGTGAAGCAGTGCCGAAAGCCAGGAAAGAGATGGTGCTTCTGCTGTTGCTGTCACTGCTGCTTTCGGCAAGCCGTGCAATCTTGACTGAAACTCGCTGACACAGGGAGTGTGGAACGATTACCAGCATGACAAGCAATCTGGGTACCATTCAGAAGCACTGAGCCAAATCAGCCATCAAACCGGAACCCAGATCTCCATAACCAGGAGACTGGCCACCCAAGTAGAAGACAAAAACATCGGACTCGAGACAGACTAGCCTCAACAAAAACTGAACTGCAAGGACATACCCAGCTGCAAACTACAACACTGAGTAAGCAACACTGCCCAAAGCAACAGCAGTGGTGGAAACAGAGAGACAGAAACAAGCTAGCCAAAAGAAGACCAGGAACCAAGCCATAGAACAAACAACCAAAAATTCAAATTGCACAAGACGTTGAACAAACGAATCCAAACCAGCCACAAGCATGACAAACTCATCAGGAATTCGAGTCGACAACCAAAAACTTCGGGCAAAGCAACAACTTCGACGAAACTTCGGGCAAAGCAAACAGGAGGGTAGGGTATTTACATCTTGCATGAACTTCTTGCAGACGGGGCGGATTTCCTTGCTGAGAGTAGCGCTGAACATCATGACCTGCTTCTCATGGGGTGTTGCGCGGAAGATTTCCTGTACGTCACGGCGCATGTCTGTGCAAGAAAGCAATATAAGCCAAGAGCACAAGCCGGCCAGTTAAGTACACCTGCCACCAGTGGCATATAAGTGCAACACAAGCCGAATGGCATGAAAGGACAACAACAGAAGATGAGGGCAAAATGCAAGTTGAACTGCAAAAAGGAAATGAATTATTAATCTCTATAAAAGAAGTCCATCTGCTAGAAAGAGCAACTAACCAAGTGAGTCGAGTACTTTGTCGCATTCATCCAGAATGAAGTGCTTGACGTTCTTCAGGTTGAGGGATTTGTCGCGAACAAGAGCCAACATACGCCCGGGGCAGCCAACAACAATGTGCGGGCAGTTGTTTTTTAGCGTCTCCTGGTCACGCTTGATGCTGACGCCACCGAAGAAGACAGCAGTCTTTACGCTCGGCATGTACTTCCGGAATCGGTCGTACTCACGGCAGATCTGATACGCCAGCTCTCTTGTGTGGCAAAGGCACACAACGCTGACCTGAAAACAACACCACAGAACACCACCCATGATTAGCGCCAGTAAAGAAATACGAAGCTCGCATTAAACTGCGGGCAATATCGCTGAAAGTGCTGGTAAAAGCAGCTAAAATTGTGCAGCAGTTTGTTCACAAATGGTTTTTTCGCTCTACATATATGCGGATTCCACTAATTGCCTAGACAGAGCACGTGGCATGTGTTGACCACCGTTTTACAAACTATTTACGGAGATGTGCAATCTTCAAACCATCATTCCACAGATCAATGGCATCACCTGCAGCTTATGAGGCAACATGCAAGTAGCTACAAACAACTAATACAACCCGTGGTTCGCAACCCCTCGCATCCCTATTAGTAATGGGTAGGACTGAAACGATTAAGGGGAAGGTGAGCGCACGAAAACAAGCTAAGCATCATAGCAAACTAAGAATGTTAGGGGTCGTCCACAAATATCGAGCTTTTCTTTTCTGTTCACAAAACGAAATAATTTCGTTATGGGTGGGAGGGGGTTGACCACTTTCGTTTCAGAAAACATTGACACAATGTACATGCCCGTAGGAGCAGTGATGCACTTGCGGCTTTTGTGGTGTAATATGCACATATGTGTGAACATTGTTTACGTTCTGAGGGGGAGTGATCGGGTCTAAACTAAAATAATTCGTTTCGTGAAAAATGTTTGACGGACGGCCCCTTTAACCCTTTACCTTCTGACCAAAATTACCATGCAGTTCTAAATGCAATACTTCTCACCTCATTTTGAGAATATCTTTGGTTCTAATCAAACAATTATCACACTCTTGGGCATTCTGGAAAGCTCTCCACGAGCTGCGTACAATGAGCTCAAACTGGACACTACTGAGATCACATATCCAACGCCAGGGTGCTTCAAACACTCCCCATCGCTGGGTATCCGAGAAAATTCTCTCCTCGTCAGCCATTTCTCACTCCTTCATCGTAAACATTTCAAATTTGTTTGCTTCAGTTTCTTTTTATGCTGCCCACGCGCTCAAAGCATGCCCAGGTGACTCAGCATGTTAGGAGAGGGAAAATCCCCAGCTCAAGGCCAGTCACTGAGAAAAAATTGACTTTTGTCGTGGCTGAAATGTCGAGCGCGATATCTTTGGAATGCAGCATCGGAGCTCTTCGCCGATTGTTGCAATGAAAGGCTGGGCTCTTCAGCTTCTTCCTACATATTTAGTTTTTTAGATTCCGTCAAGAATTGATCGAGTTACGAATGTCTTAGTGCATGCATGTCCATCGACCAAATTCAGTCGATTCATGTACACACAGAAGGTAAAGGGTTAATAGCTTCGACGAGACATTTCTCATGTTATTTCATAACTTAGAACCTTCCAAGCTGGAAGGCTGTTGGTTAGCGTATCCAAGACGCGATAGAGATAATCATGTCGGTGAATGTTAGTATCGCATCAGTTAGTATTGTGCTAGCTGTTGCATCTTCTGACTACAAACATCTTGCTTATAACTGTTAGTGTTGGACACAAGCTACAGATAATATGTAACATGTTGGTCCTTTAAAATCCACGATCGTTTCAGCGGTAGTAATATGGACGTAAGACTAATATAATTATGATATGAACTCCTGAGTATTCTCACGTACATCACGAAATTACGAGTCAGCACTACACCGAACCACTAACACATGACTGGATGGTCTTCACTGACTTACCTGTCCATCAACAGGTTCGAGCTGCTGAAGCGTGGCGAGGACAAACACGGCAGTTTTACCCATACCAGACTTGGCCTGGCATAGAATGTCCATACCAAGAATGGCCTGCGGAATACATTCCGCTTGGACTGTAATGCACCAGCAACATAAAAAAGAATAGGAAAGACAGGTGTTACATGGGGGAGAAGTTCTGATGTGCAATTATTATTATTATTATGCACTTACGCGTCAATGTCAGCGGTGGTAAACCGCCCACAAATTCGCACGTGCTGATAGCGAATGAAAAACCATCACGGAGCACTCGGGATAATTCTTTTTATGGAGTGCATGGTTGCATACAGTCGAAATCAGTGTAACCCTGTGTTTTGCTTTGTTTTGAGTGACAAGCCAGTACTAGCACATGACTTTGCCACTCCATGCCAAACATCTCAAGATTAATGACGATGCCGTCACATAGTAATCTCCTCTCTCTCTCTCTCTCGCACTACTCCAGTACTCGTAACATTATATTTTTGGTCTGCACAATATTGCAGGGAAAATTAATTTTTTGTTCTGCTACAAAAAAATCTTTGAAAACATTCTCAACTTCACCTTCTGAAGGATGTTCGAATCCACAATCCACGATAGCACGCAGGAGCTCAGGCTTCAGAAGGAAGTCTCTGAAGCCAGAACTGTGAATACTGACGTAAGTTCCCTTCAAGTCTTTCTTGGCTTCGGGAGCGGCAGCCGCACTGTCCTGAGTAGGCTCTGCATCCTCCTCATAATCCAAAAGATCCTCCTGCTGCTCGGGATCGATATCTGCTGTGTTGTCTGACATTTTTCTGTGTGGGAACAACAAGTTACGTTCTCAATCAGTTCGCTGCGAAGGTTCTTCGCAGAAACAAAATAAAATTTGAAAACTTACATCAGTGGGAAGCAATCAACTGTGTAACACAAACGTACTTCTTCGTCAAAACGTTCAAGCAACGAAAAACTGGTCACGACATAGGCAAGCACGCAAGATGGCTGCCTGCACACGCATGCGCCTTATCGGCCAAATACCGCGCCAAAATTTGAATGCGAGCCTCCACGTGGGTCATGGGGGAAAAGCCCTTTCTGAAGACTGTGCATGTGAAGTACTGCATCTCTGTACGACTGGCACGAGTCACCACGTCGACGCCTCGACGGATACCGGGATAGCGGGGTCACCTGGTCTTTGCATGCGATGGGCAGATGGCGGCGTGCGTGCATACGTTGAGAAGGCCCCTTTGAAATCACATGTTCAGATCATCCTGAAACATATCAGTGAATGGAAACTGAACAGAATTTCGCTTTCTTTCAGACTTTCTGTGAACAGTCGCCTAGAAGGCTAGATAGAAAGCATTGCTTTCCCCGTTGTTGATAAAATTATTTGACATCGGGTCATTTTGAAGAGTAGAGAAAAGAATGTCTCTCCAGGATTTGGAGACCGTCCTTTCGGGTCTGCTGGCCCCCGATAGTGCTGTGATTCGTCAGGTACGACTACAAGGTTTAGTGTAAGTATCGGGAAACTTCAGTCATGTTCATGTGTCGATTTACGCTGTTTCCACAGGCCGAGGAGCAGCTGAAGGAGCCTTTCAAGGACCCTGGTATTGTCAGCGCACTTGTAGAGATATTAGCGCAGTCCCAGGCTCCTCAGGTTAGTAAATATCTCACAGCTACTACAAGAACAACCTGCTACCACTAGTACATGTACATGTACCTGTCCTAAGGCCGAGTAAAAAAAATTACTAGATGATCGTCCTTTTTTTTGGAAAAATCGGGGAGGGCGGGAGGATTTTATTTTTATTTTTTTACTTTTTACCCTCTCATGCACACAGTGTACACAACAACATCAAGGTTTTTTTTCTCTTTTTTTCTTTTTTTTTCTTTTTTTCTTTTTCTTTCTTCAGCAGATCGATACTGACGTTGTGATATACTAGTAGTATGTGGTCCATATAGTAAAGAAAGTATTAAACAAAGCGTGCACATGTTTCCTGCATCCGCGATCGGTAAAAAACCAACGATTTCGGCAAAAACTCACGATTTAAAAAATAAAATATTTCTTGGGGCGCTGACAAAAACTGGGGCGGACGGGGACGATCATCTAGCTTTTTTTTTTACTTGGCCTAAAGCCTAACACGATATTTGGGTTGAAGCATTGTACAGGCAAGGATATTGCTGTTCAAGGAGCAACGCATTACACATATGAGCCTTTTGAATTTCTCACATCCACATCAAGATCAAGCCTGAAGAAAGTACATTCCGATTAGCCCCACCTGTGTATAAGGCCTCATTTACACGACAACGATTGAAAAACGTTTTTCAATCGTTTTCGAAACGTTTTTGCTGTTTACACGAAAACGATAATCGTGTACACTGCAACACTTTTTTCGGCGCGCAATGGTCACGTGCAAAAAGTTGGCCTGGCGCAGGCTGGCGGCGGCATGTTTTGAGTACAAGGCTCGTACTAGTAAAACGTTTTTGCCGTTTACACGAGAACGAAACGGAACGAAAACGATTGAAAAACACTTTGAGGCCGTTTTTCGTTTGAAACGTTTTTGAAACGTTTTTCAGCGTTGTCGTATAAACGCTCTTATCAAAATCTGTGGAAGCGTATTCTTTTGAAAACGTTTTTGACAAAAACGTTTTTCAATCGTTGTCGTGTAAACGAGGCCTAAGCCCCCCCCCCCCCCCCTCTCTCCATGCAATGTCCCAAACCAGCAGTCCGGCCGGTTTCGGCAATGAGGGAACCCTATCGCACACACTCTCAGTGCATACATGCATATTGCAAGGTAGCCACCAGACCACCATTGCCTTGATTTGCAACTGCCATACCGTAATGCCGCGTATAAAATCAGGTGCTTTATACGGCCGTATAAGCCGGGGTTCAATAATAATAATAATAATAATAATAGTTACAGTTCGCATGTCACTCATGGAAGGATCCATGGGCTTAACGCATCTGTCAACGAAATCCAGGCAGAAGAGCCGACAAAAGGCATCTAAATATTGTTAGAACGTATCGCAGTAAGAACAACTACGCAAGACCATGCTTCTATTCAAGTTATGCTTCTATTCGAAACATGCTTCTACGGCAACATCATCAGTCTGCACTGTGCAGTGCATACTGCCACGCATGTACTCGCACGTGTACAGTTTACAGGGAGCGGCTTCTCTTCAAACCATGCTTCTGTGTTATTATACAGATCATGCTTTTATACGCGTCACTACAGTATTTGCAGGAGTATAGTGCGCACTTTAGACATGCTATTTCAGGTCCCAAATCGCAGGTGCCCACTATGCTCCGAATATGAGAATGCATGAACAGTACCTTGAATTGTAGTGCTATGCATGGCACTGTTGCAAAGTTTGCCACCTCTGACCCGGAGCAAGCAATATGCATGCTTTTCTAGTGTCTACTGCCAATGATTGTGCAAGCTTCACCACGTCCGTTATCTGAGCGTTGGATCTGTTTGGCTGAGCCTTATTTTACTGCTCTTTTTTATGCTGCTTTTTGTGCAGATCCGTCAACTGGCTAGTGTGCTGCTCCGCCGCTTGCTAGGCAAGCATTGGGAGGATGTTCAGGCGGATATGAAAATGCGGTGTGTAGAGTCTGTAGACATGATCATTCTGTGTGTTTTCCGTTCTTGTCCGTATTATGATTTTTTCACGTATAGTTAGTGGATGTCCCAGGCGTGTTGTACCCAATTGAAAACCTTTTAATGTTTTGTGTGTTGTAAGGACACGTACCGGTAATTTTGTTTCTTTTGTGCCATGTCATGTTCTGCTTTGTGATGTGTTTAGGCAATGCTTGTGTTATGTTATGTTTTCTATTTTACTTGTGTTTATTCTCTGTTGTGAAACGCTTTGTTTGTGTGGTATGCTCACGTGTATTCAATCTACTTTGTCCTTGCCTTCTTGTGTTTCGCCTACAGGGTCAAGTTGGCTCTTCTTCAACAACTATCAAAAGAGACCATGTGAGTTTGAAGTCTCTGTGTATAAATGGACTCGGATGGAGAGCCAAGGATTACTTTTTAGAAAGAAAAAGGACCAAGGAACTACAAGTTACGCTATAATGTCCACTAACACCACCAGTTACTATCGCATGAGCTGATTGTTTAGTAACTGGTGGTGTTAGTGGACATAGCGTAACTTGTCGTTCCTTGGTCCTTTTTCTTTCTCTGTGTATACATGATGGTATCAGTACAGGTGTGGGTAGTGAAGTCCTGCCTGACTGATGAGCAATTTCTGCGCCCCAAACCTGTTTTGATTGCCTCGTGTGCAGATTAGAAGCTGTGTGGCCTTCGGTAGTGGGAGTGGACGTTGTATGCCCCTTGTTAGGTCACGTATGTTGGTGCTTTGATGGGGTCTGTCCAGGTTGGATGATGGAATGGTTTGACATTTCTGTACTTCTTGTGTCTGATTGTTTCCCATTGTCTTGCACGCTCGTGCATATGTATCATTATGGATGCGTGCGCATGTTTGCGTCTGGGCTTTTTTTTCCCCGCAGCCACTCTGTGTCGTTCAACATTGCAGACTTGGTAAGGTGGAGTATGATTGTCTGAAGCGGGTTCCCGACTTGTCATGAATTTGAACATTTCAATTGTGTGTGTATGTGTGGTTGGGTGGGTGGGTGGGGGGGGGCACGCATATTGTCTCTGCGGCCACTTGCCAGGTCTTCATTCCCTATGGTTATTTTAATTGCCAATACTTAAGTGACATTTTGTCTTGTGTAGAATTTTACCTGTAGTGAATCATGGCAGTAAGTTCTTTTCTCTGAAATACTTCTATACTACATTTTCAAATACTTGATCATGCTACTGGCAAGAAGATGCTTTATCTTATCCTAATATGGGCTGGTACATGCGTTGTGTGTTTGTTGCAGATCGGTGAAATTGCAGATCTGGAATTGGTGGACGAGGCTGGCTGGCCAGGTCTTTGGGAGTTTCTGAGAAACTCGTTTCAAAGCCCAGATCTTGCTCAGCAAGAGGTTAGACAAATATGTAATGAAGCTGTGTAAAACTGTGATTGTCATTGCTTTTCTGATGAAGGTGCTGCTCATGTTGGTGGTGGTGGTCATGGTGATGCTGCTGCTTCTGTTATTGTCACTGCTGTTGATGCTACGGCTTCTGTTGCTGCTGCTGCTGCTGTTGTCATTGTCGCTGCTGTTGATGCTATCATTGCCGCTGCTGTTCTGCTGCTGCTGTCATTGTTGCTTTTGTCGTTAGCTCTGCTGCTGCTGTTAGTGTTGCTCTATTGTGGAGTGACTTAGTATGTCTCCCATTCACTAGTTTACTTTCGTTTGATGCCAATGATGTGTATTTCTGTATGGTGAGTTTTCTCTTGGAGATTGCTGCTCTGTGCTGACAGTCTGAACTCTGAATTCTTACACGTGTCTGCTGCAGCTGGGCCTGATGCTCCTGTGCACGCTTTCTCAAAATGCTGGTGATAAGGTAAGTTGTTACGTACATGTGTGTGTGCGTGTGTGTGTCTCTTTTTCTGCTAGTTCAGCATGTATGCGTGGAATTCCTCATGTTCATCAGTGCATGCCCCAGGCATAGCATAGGGCCAAGAGTCCATAACCCCAAGAGTGTGCAACTGGGGTCTGGCTGCTGTAGGCCCACTGCGCGTCTGAATTCCAACATTACGTCATGCCGCTGAGGCACAGCTGTACAAAACTCCGCATTCCGCGGTGCTTGAAACCAGGGATTAGTACACGCGCAACGAACGTGTACGTCATTTTTGACGTAATGTTGGAATTCCGCCGCGCGGATCCCCATGTACAGAGTTGCACACTCTTGGGGTTATGGACTCTTGATAGGGCTGAGATGAGGTGGGTAGGAGGTCCGGGTCTTGCCACTAATATTATCCTCTTGTCAACTTCGCCTTTGTTTGCTACCCTGCTGTGTTTTAATATTCCTGTTCTTGTTTTCGGTCTTTCGCTGCAGTTGTGTGACCAATTCAACACGTTTTCTCCGCTCTTCGTTACATGCTTGAAGTCCGAGTCGGTCAATTTGCTTTACTACGCACTCAAGTTAGTCCCTGTTCCATGTGTGTTCAAGTCGATTTGTCTCTTTGTGGACCGCTCCTTCTGTACTCCCTCTTATTATTTCAGTACATGTAGTACTGTAAAAGCCACACATATAACGAAGTGTTAACTCTAACGAGTTAACGAGGAGAAATCTGTCGTTAAAATAGAAATCGTTGTACAGAAATCGATACATATACTGTCCTACTGTGCGTTGAGGATGAGTGAAAATCGTTACCTTTGGTACACGTAAACTAGTCACTTTTGGGAAATCGTTATATATGCGCCTCGTTAGAATAATGGCTTTTACAGTACCTTAATGGTGCGGTCACTGAGGTAAATGTGCATGTGCATACTTAGATTAGCAAAGTCTTCCTACTGGGCTCACACCGGCAATTCTGTGTGACTATTTATTTGAGACAGGACTCATGTTAACACTCACAGATCCAACCGTGCATGTGTAGGATGATGCTATGACTGCGTGATTGATAGTATGGACCTGTTGTTACTGCAGCATGGCTGTGTGATCTTGACACAGTCCCCTACGCACATTGTACTCAATAAAACCTATGTTCAACGGCATAATATATTATATACTTCTTTGTTGAGGTCTGATTCGATCCCTGTGTCTTTGTGCGTGGCTGTGTGTGTGTGTGTGTGTGCGTGTGTGGTGTGTGTGTGTGTGTGTGTGTGTGTGTGTGTGTGTGTGTGTGTGTGTGTGTGTGTGTGTGTGTCTTACTGTTTACAGGTGCTTGGCTGGACTTGCTCCGTATGTAGCACACATGCATGAGGTATGTGACACACAAGGACTTGCATCGGACTAGGCAGCTGATGCAGTCTGACTGCGCCATGCTGCCTTCCAGTCACTATGGCGGCTGGTAACATGACACAGTCACCATGGTGACAGTCACACCCCTCCCCATGAGTTGTTGTCGAAGAAGGCCCCGCCGATTTAGTCAGGAAAAAGGCAGCATTTTGTGATTTTTGGCACATGTACACAGTGCTAAATTATTGGATGTCTAGAAGCTGTTTGTATTCACGCAAAGAAACCTATGCAAACAGAAGCAAATTAAATTCACCCTTACTACAAAATCAATAGGTTGTTAGGTACTTCGAAGTACAGTTGCGCTCACTGAAATCCGACCCAAAGTGCAAAGCTGGCGCCCTGGACCAGTTCCGATTACATCATTGTGGGTGTACATGTGTACGTCCAGCTGTATTCATTCTACTGCCAGGGCGTCAAGGGCCGTGCAAGTTGAGGGCGCCAGTTTTGCACACTGGGTCGGATTTCAGTGAGCGCAACTGTAGATCGTCAACAACTCGTTAGTTTTTGTCCATTGTTCTTTGTTGTCGCGCGACGTTTCACGCCTGTTAGATTTCTTCACATTTGCACCTTTTGTCATTCTTTCTATGTGTATGGGGTCACACATTTTGCCGTTGTTATTTTAGCTGTTCTTCCTTGCGCTGTTCTGCCACCTCTCTGCTGTACTTAATTCATTGGTCTTGTTCCTTTTCTTTTTGCTTTTCCGCCTGATGAGAAGGCATGAAAGGGTACTTGTTGAAAACTTTCAGAAATATTCCTCCTTTCACAGCACTGCTGCTGCTGCTCCTGGACGATCTTGACCCTCCTCACCCTGCTGGAGTGCATGCCACCATTGTTTCCCTTCTTTTGCTCTTGGCTCTCTGACAGGCTTATTTCCGTGAAGTGACTCCTCTTTGCCTGGGGGCCCTTGATCGCCTGCTGGCTGTAGACGAGGACAAATCTCTTGAAGCCATGGAAGTTATCACAGAGCTCATTGGCTCTGAAGGCAACACTATTGGTGGAAATCTGAAGTTGCTCTTGGAGTTCATCCTCAGGGTAAGTCTACACTGCTAAGACTCTAGCCTGCTGTTGACAAGCACTGGTTGTGTTGAGGCGAGCAGCAGCCCCCGTCTTAGAAGGGGTTATCCATACAAGTCCTCAGGTGCACGCTATCTATCCTATAGGCTATTGTGAATGTTGATTTACAGCCTCTAGCACAGTATGCAGTGTTGTGCATTGTTGGCATGGCTTCTTAGTTTTGTACACCACAGCTGCAATGTGAAGTGTTTGGTTTGGATTCAATTGTGTCCGTGACCGTTGCTGTGTGTGTGTGTGTTTGTGTGATTTTGTCTGCTCAGGTCGGAGCCGACCAGGCCCGTGACAAGGCCCCTCGCTGCAAGGCATTGGCATTGCTCTTGGACCTGATTCTGACAAAGAAGGGGGTGAGTGGTAACACAGTGCAATGTGGAGAGTTCTCTCATACCGGTAGTCTAGTGGTGAGGCTCTTGTGTGGTTGTCTCTCCGTAGCTTCAATCATATTGTGTTATTGCCTTCTCTGGCGAAGGAAATTGAGTTGATTTGCAATGGAGTTGCTATGTCTGCAACTATTTCCGTCGATACCCAAGGGGTTACTCTACTAGCAGGTGCAACGCTCACCGTAATTTTGTCTGTATTGAGGAATGGTGACACACTCATTGGCTGTGTACTAGCCATAATCACCCGCTGTGCTGCTCATCATGTGTCACAGTAGTTCCGTGGATGTGCTGTATGGTGTAGTTTGAGCCAACAGTAGGCAACTTATTTCCTTTGCCATGAAAATACTGGCTGCCGGTATAGGTAATTGTGTATGACTGTCATTATGGTGTACTAATGGCTACCTTCTTCTCTTCGACTGTGCACTTTGATCTGGTGTTGTGTTGCTCCTGTGCAGAAATTTCTGAAGGGTGACAAGTTCTTGCAGGTGATACAGACCCTGTTTGCCGTAATGGCATCGCCGATGGAGGATGCTGATGAAGACGATGATGACTCTGATCTCCTGCTGGGATTCACACCACAAGCTGTTGCCAGTCAGGTATGATGTTAGCCAACAACCGATAGATATGGCGTGGTGTGTGTGCCAGTTTTCCAGGTCTTGCTGGTCTTGCCCGTCCATGCTGCTTGCTACAGTTGTGGCCAAAGAAATCCGACTCGCGTGCCGAGAGCAGCGACAACGCTCATACACTGCGGCCCGCAGATCAGTTTTTGGAGCGTTCATGATGTACAGTTGAACATCGATTATCCGCGCATCGACTATCCGACCATTCGATTATCCGTAACAGTTTTTTTGGGCGCACGTTCCGTAGAGTACGCACTGTGCATGTAGTGAGCCATTCAAAAAATACGAAAATTTTGAAAAGTAAAAAGTAAAAAGGTCGTGCGGCTAGTAATAACCACTGAAAGTGTGTGAGTGACAGTTTTTTCTTATCCAGACCATTTGCCTTATCTGAACACCGCCTGACAGTTGTCTGCCCAGAGGTGGTCGGATAATCGATGTTCAACTGTAATTGAAATGGCAACGTGGCGATACTGTTGACTCGGGGATCTGATTTCTTTGGCCAGCCACGACTGCACATGACTGTATAGTGTACATGGTATACCGGTGGTCTTTATTATGTCTTTGATGGGACGTTTGTTGCAGCGATTCCCTACAGTCTGCTCTGAACTGGTCTTTTGCAAGAGCCGTACTCGTGTTTTCTCTGCTTTCCCTCCAGATGTTTTGACATTGTTGTGCTGACTCTTGATTCCTTCAATGTACTGTAAATCTAACTCTCTCTACTCTCTGTGTATATTGTGTTCACTTGCCTGTTACACAGGTTATGGGCAATTTGGCTATCGAGTTCACGCATTCCATGATCATTGATCCACTTGTAAGTATGCTGCACAGGCACGATGATGTTACTTGTATTGTGTGTGTGTGTGGGTGTGGGTGTGGGTGTGGGTGTTGGTCATATGCATTGATGTGTTCCGGAGGTCACACGTGTGCATCTTGTTTTACTACTTGTACTATGTATGGGCGGCCAGTGCATGCAATACCATGTCTACGGGCAAATTGTTGGATTGTGTGCACATGTGTGTTTATGCGTGCGTGCTGTTTAGATGGTCATTGTGCGTGCAAACCATGCCAGTACTGATGAGAATGTACGGCGTGCATGCTTAGTTGCTCTGACGGTTGTTGCTGATGGCTGCAGTGTACATCTAAAGCTCAAGTGAGTATCACTGTTGAACTGGAAAATATTCTCCAGCTTAATAGTTTGGAGTTTGTATACACAGCATGTTTTTGTAGAAGTACATGTTATTGTGCGCATTGGTGGTGCTACTTTGGCAATGTTTGGAAGGTGGCCTTTCTGTTCTGTTCCCCCTTGTATGCTTATCCGTGGTGCGTGTGTGTGTGTGTGTGTGCTTGCATATCTGTGTGTATGTACGTGCATATCTGTGTGTATGTGCGTGTGTCTGTGTGTGTATCAATCTTTTCTGCAACATATCTTCAGCCACCTTGCGCCCATTCTGCAGCTAGTGAACGCAGGTTAGTTGATAAGGACAGTTGTGTGTGTGTGTGTGTGTGTGTGTGTGTGTGTGTGTGTGTGTGTGTGTGTGTGTGGTGGTAGGGGGACAGCTGGGGGGATACGGCTCCTGGCTTGGGTGGAATATTACCAATGTGTCGATTAGTGGTGATTGCCGACTGGGGTTTCCTCATAAGACTTCTTCAATTTCTATTGCTGTACAGTTGTGTGTGCATCTGTTTGGTGCTGGACGGGGTCTGCGCTTAATGTCACTGTGCTCACTTTGTGTGTCTCACATTCTGTTTTCTATGTAGGTTTCAACGACTCCAGTAGAACCGTGTTCCTGGCTTCGCTGAGTGCCATGTCAGAGTTTGCTGTGCATTTCCAGGTGAGTATCTCGTAGTGTGCCGCCTACACTGCTGTGCTGCTGCTGACCCTGCTGCTGGCCCTGCTGATGATGATGACACGGATAGTGCTGTTTCAGCACGCCTTGCCGTCAACGGAGAACAGACTGCAGACGTGCATGCGCAGCTTCAAGTACTGTAAGGCATGAACTTGTCACGAGGAAGTAAATCCAATAGTTTAACACGTGAAGTTTCTTCGATGAAATAACTTTCGTTAACGTCATAGTGACTGCTATATCCTCTGTGTTGATATGCCTGCAACCTCCAAGGTCCTTAGCTTGCAGATTTTGGAAAATCATTTTAATGATTTAATGATTAATTTAAAAATTAACATCCACTTCGTTTTAGTACCATGTTTTACAGTGTTTGGGTCCGGGTAGTGTACGGAACCGAGAGCTGGACTCTCCTCAAGGTGGATGAAAAGCAGATTTGGTGCTGCTGACGTTTACTCCCATGTATCCGTATACAGGGGAAGTGAGAAGTGTAGTGATGGCAGGCGGCATCATGGATGAGCTGTGAGTGCAGCCACAGCTGTTCATGTTCAGTGTAGTAGCATGTATCGTGCTCTCACTAACATCTGTTGTGTGCTCTGCTATCTGTTCTGGTTGTGTTTGTTTGACTTAGCCGGATATCTCACAACACACCTCAGAGATTCTCACCAGGGTTCTGATGATGCTTGTCAGTGTGCTGGAGGAGCCGGAGTTTGACAAGGTCAAGACCAAGCATGTCTTCCGTGCTTTCGAAATGGTGATTGAGAACACTGGTAAGCAGCCATGATTATGTCAGTAGCCGCTGCACGCCAACGGTGTGTTGTGTGCTGTTGTGTGTTGCTGTGTGCGGTGTGTGTTAGCTGTGCTAGGTTACGCTGTGTTGAGCTGTATCCGGTTTGCTCACGACCACCACCACACTGTTACACTGCCGCTGTCATCAGCTGGAAGTTGGAAGTAGTCAAGGTCGTAAAGTTTTGGTCGATCTTTTGCTTCCGTTGTGCTTGCAGAAGAGGATGTTTCGTCATTCTTGCAGAAGGTGATGGAGATCTTGATGACTGTTCTCTCCAAGACCGAGGTAGGGACACCGGCATGGATTTATCAAATCTCTCTCTCTCTCTCTCTCTCTCTCTCTCTTTCCCTCTCTCTTTCTCTCTTTCCCTCTCTCTTTCTCTCTCTCTCTGCCTCTCTTGATCGATCTAGTTTTAGCTTTTTGGTTGTGTGCACTCAGTCTGCCCTCAATGTATGAATTGAATGATTACCCAATACCAACGGCTATGAAGCTGATGGAAATGTATTCCGTTCCTTTGTACTCTTGCTGCTGCTGCTGCTGCTGCTGCTGCTGTTGCTGCTGTTGTTCTCAGAATACGGATGTGCGTGAACTGACCATCCAGTCTCTTGGTGCTGTGGGTAAGCCATAGTTCGCTATTTTGCCGATTGAGTATTTTCACTTGTTCCTGGGTGACACTGCATGCTGCCGCCACCGCTGCTGCTGTTGCTGCTGCTGCATACTGTGAATTATGGACGTTGTGGCTAGTAGTAGTAAGCTCAATGCTGTGATGTGCCAGTGGTGCCAGGGAAAGATTTGCTGAGTACTGAAGGTTTGCTATCTGAACATCTCTAATCAAGGCATGCACGAAGAAACAAATCAGGTCTCGATTAATACCACATGCTGCCGTTGATGATTGGAATAGCCAGGCCATTGATACGAGCACAATCAAGCACCCCTTGGTCGTCCCCGGTGGATTGATGTAGTCAGGGAAACTATCCAGCCAGCTGATCTCACCCTCACACACACACACACACTCCTCAGACCTCAGACATGCCCATCGCGGGAGCGATGATAGCGAACAGCTATGTTAGACATAGCAACTTGTGCTGGGATTACACCATTCAACAGCTTGCAAGGCTGATGAATTGACCGCCACTATTTCACACACACACACACACACACACACACACACACACACACACACACACATTTACACATTTACACATTTACACATTTACACATGCCCGATAGCGAACAAATGATGTTACATAGACATAGCAACTTTGTGCTGGGATTATACCATTCAACAGCTTGCAAGGCTGTTGAATTGACCGCCACTAACCTTACACACACACACACACATACACATACACATACACTGTACTCAAAGGGTAAGCAGCAGCTAGCGCGGCATGTGATGGAGGTGGAATTGCTTCACACATACCGGTACACTGGTTGGATACTGTTGATAGATGTGTTAGCATCATTTGGTCTGGCTAAATGTGGGCCATTTCGATTCTTACTACTTGTAAGTGAAAATAATAATTTGGGCTTTGCTTTTGTTTGTTTGCAGCCACGGCGGTGAAAGGTGGCATCTCACCCTACTTTGAGCAGATGATGATGGCAATCAAGGTACGCACGCCATATTGTGCATTTCTGCGCCATGCATTGTCGAGCCAGGGGAGGGTTTAGGAGAATGTCTGTGTCATGCATTGTCGAGCCAGGGGAAGGTTTGGTAGAATTTATTTATTTATGTATTTACTTAACTAGGCAGGCACAGTGGGTTGGTCTAAGTTGGTCTAAGACCATGTTTGAGAAACGAGAGATACCAGGTTCAAGTCCTGCTTGGAAGGGAAAGGATTTTTTCCAACCGTGCTGCGACCCACAGTTACTTGGGAACTCGTGGCCCGGCATGAGTAAAACATGGATGTGGCAAATGGGATTTAGGCCTTTGGCCTATGGTTGGTGGATCTGATCTATCCTCCCCCACCGTTTAGGAGCCGCATCTGACGCCTGATCATGGGATGGTGGCGTCCCACGGAAGCGGAAAGGTGGTTCTTGACCAGGGAGTTGTACGACTCCTTGTTCTTGACCTGTCCGGTACGCGAACCAGTCGAATTTTTTTTCTTTTTTTTCGAATTTACTTAACTCAATCTCGTAGCATGTGCACGCATTGCTAATCTGGAGAGCAACCCCAGAGATGAGGGTGATTCCCAGCCATGTCTGCTTCATGCATTGACGACCATTTTACCTTGTCTTGTGAGTGTGGCCATCACTGTTCCTGACCTGCTTATGGCATTCTCATCTCACTCCTGCCTTTCTGTATGGTATTTGTTCTCCTGTGCCTTGCTTTCTGCAGCCTCACCTTGTTGCTCCAGCCCCTAATGAGAGTCCATCAGTTATGCTCTTGACTTGCATTGGTAAGTACTTGTACAACAAGCCGTTGTTTTTGAATTCTATATTCTCACGATGGCACCATCGCCAATAAGAGATGTACTGGGACCTCAACGACTAGGGGTGAAAGTTGGCACTGAGATCCCGAGTTCGAGTACTCTGATTTTCTCCGATCGAATATTCGAGTATTCGAGTATTCTTGATATCCTAAAAATCGCACACCAACCGCCTCAAAAATCACACGATACAACCCTGATTGAACCGATTGGCAGTTCTTTTCTCGGGTGTATTGGTTGGTGGGTCATTTGGGCTCTCTCTACTCATGAAAAAATGTTCACCACACAGTCTGCACATCAATATCTGCTGACTGCTGCTCTGAAACTGCAGACTTCTGTGGTAAATGTATGTACCATGTATGAGCGAATACTGATTTATTCCGAGTACAATTATATTCGAAAAATCCAAACGAGTATTCGAATATTCGGTATAATTTTTTCACCCCTATCAACGACCAGCGCTTTGGCTGAGTGGTTGTGGGCTTGCCCGCGATCACACGGTCCCAAGTCCGAGACCCGCGCTGGGAGCAGGGACTGTGTATTGTCACTACTGACGTAACTGTGCTAACAAATGCGGTGATGCATGCATGAACCACCTTATAGGCAATTCACACGACAGGTACTTGCACGTTTTACAGGGAGTGACATACGAGAAAAGTGACTGTGTGGATTCACACAGCTGCACTTGACGACAGGCACGTTTGCATTTTTGAATGCTTCACCGACCAGTAGCCATGGGTATTTCAAATTTTCAAAACACGCATACAATAATTATCATGTTCTAAAGAGCCGCATAAAAAATCAAGTCTTGTTTCGCGCTTTTTGGTATAAATGTACTCGTGCACGCCACGATTATCGTGAAAGTGGACCCCCAGCTCGCTTGCACTTTTCAGCCACTTTTCTCGTTCACAGGTAAAATACCATAGCAACTTTCCGGTGCACGTGGATTTGCCTGTCATGTGAATACCCCATTACATGCAGTGAACTGCGCCCACACCCACGGTCAACTGGGTACTCACTACTCGGAGTGAGGGTAACATGGATGCAGCTAAAGAGGCTCGCCCTCTTGTCGGGCATTGATTGTGAGTTACCACCTCACCCTCGCTGTTAGGCGCTGCATCTGCCACCCTGGTATCATAGGCATGGTGGTGGCCTGGCACAAGCGAAACTTCCTAAGCTGGTTGTGTTTCTCAATACAATTGTATAGCCGGTTGTAACGCAGACGTGTGAACTTTACTTTACTTTACTGGGACCTCAACTCTTGCGCTGTTCCAAGCAATGACTCTAATGTCGTGTGCGTGTGTGTGTGTGCGCGCGCGCTCTCGTGTGCGTGTGTGACTTGCCTATGTGTATATTGTAGACACTCTGGGTGTGCTTGCCCGCAACGTTGACAAAGCTGTATTCCAGCCTCTGGCCCTGGACTGCATCAACCTCGGCTTGCAGCTCATCTCCGTTACCAATGATCCAGACCTGCGCAGCGTAGTGTATGTCAAGTCCACTGTGATGATACATATGCACACACACGCACACACATACATACATACATACATACATACATACATACATACTTGTTGCTCACTGCCAAAACTGGTCACGTGGGACACATACACACACACACACACACACACACACACACACACACACACACACACACACACACACACACACACGTACATACATGGCTGCATTCGTATGGCATCCAAAAGTATCGTGGAAATTGCTTGTGAGGAGCCTGAAGCTTGTTTTTCTTGAGTGTGAATGCATTAAAGAAAGCTCTTCTGTTTGTGTTTGACTTTGTGTTTCTACCACTATCCACTGTAGGTTTGGTCTCTTGTCGGCCACCTGTGTGGCGTGTCCTGATGTCTTCATGCCATTCCTTCCCACTATCATCCCACTCATGTGGGCAGCGCTCAAGGAATCCGAAGAGGTACATGCCTACGCTTTGCCGAGTCTGCATGGCTGGCTGTCATTTGCAAGTGTTCTGATTTCATGCATCCTCGTCTACATGGCTGGCTGGCCCGGTTTCAGGAACTGTAGCATCAGTTTATGTGCTCGTCCCGATTGTGCCGTGCGCATGCTGTGCATAGGGGCTGGGATCTAGCTGTAATTATGTATAGTTTGTTGTGGCTGTGATGTACGTTTGCATTTATATGTTGCATGTACTACAATGTACTGGCATTAGCAAGTACTACTACTAGTCTGCTACTGGCATCAGCAAGTGTACACGGAATCGAGCTTGTAACTGGAATTGCTGTCATGGCAAAATTCTTGGATTGCATTGTAGTGATGTAGCACGTACAAGCATGATTCAAGCTGGTCTCTTCAGCTGCACAACTACAGCTCAGTTGTATGCAACATGCACACTTTCTGCCGCATTTATCTACACCAACTATGATGCAATCCAGAGATTGTGCCATGATTGCTGAACCTGAGCACAAAAGTCAGAAGCTACATACACTCAAACGCCTCTTATCCGGGCGTCTCAGCTACGGGCACGTCTCTCTGTCGGGCACCTTCAGCTTGAGTTCCTATGGCAAAAATGCTTTGAATCTGGGGGGTTTGAACTTTTTTCGTATGTACAAGTGCTTATTTGTCACTGCCAACCTGTGAAATCCACACATTTTATCAATGGATTCTTTCTGTAACCTGAACATGTGCAATGCGTGCCAAATGAACTTCTTCTTCTTCTATGATACATGGTGGATGAGTTATCCTGAGGTATGTGCAAATCTCAGATACGGGCAGTGCCCGGTCCCAAGGTGCCCAGATAAGAGACGTCCGAGTGTACATACTCTTGGTCGTAATGAGTGTTTCTAAGTATGCAGTGGTCACCGTGGTATTCATTCGTCTTCCTCTCTGTCCACCTGGCTATACTTGTATTGCAGGAAACTGCTGATGACTCATTCGCATTCTCTGGACTAAACGGCGCAAGCAACGGAGGAGAGGAAGACGACAGCGACGGAATTGAGTAAGCTTTCTAGTTGCAATCCGTTTGGATCTGTCTCCGTGCCTGTATCTTCAATGTCCAGCTGCTGCTGCTCTTGATGATGATGATCCTCCCCTCTTTCTTTTTTCTTTCTTTTTTGTGTGCACTCTCATTTTGTATTCTGCGGTTTTCTTGTTGCCTGTCCTTGCTCTCACCTTTCTCTGTGTTCTGACCTGATGTTGTGCTGCTCCTTCTTGTGACCTCAAGTTGTGCTGCTCCTTGTAATCTGATGGTGTGCTGCTCCTTGGTGTGACCTGATGTTGTGCTGCTCTGTGTTCTGACCTCATGTTGTGCTGCTCCTTCTTGTGACCTCATGTTGTGCTGCTCTGTGTTCTGACCTCATGTTGTGCTGCTCCTTCTTGTGACCTCATGTTGTGCTACCCTGTAGAGGAGTGAACAGTCCATTGTACCTACTGAAGGAAGATGGTGCAAACTCTCTGGCACAAATCTCGGAAAGCCTGGTGTAAGTTTGGACTTGATACGCCAGGGCCACTGGCAGAGGTGCTGCCTGGGTGTTGGTGTACGGTGGAGCCATGCTCCCTTTGAGCCTTTGTCACTTTGTACTGACTGAACTGACTGAATGTGTCTTTGTGTGCTTGGACGTTTTGAGTATTTTCACACGAAGCAAGAAAGTTGCTAATTTCATTACACTCAGTCAACTGTGTTGTGTGGGTGGGTGGGTGGGTGTGCGTGTGTGGTGGTGGTCTATATACTTGGAAATGGAGAACACGTGTCAGGCTATTTGGCGGATCGTTCTGTGGGCGTTGCTGGTCAGAAAAGGTTTGGAGACCGAAGTTGGGCTGACCGGCCTGCCATGCAGCTCAGAGCTGACGTGCATTGTGTTTCTTTTCTTGTACTATTCATATTCTTCCTTTTCAGCTCATCATTTGCAATGTACTTTGATGACTCATTTACTCTCATCTCACAGCTATTAGATGTAAGTGTTGCTTGGATGCCATGGCTCTCTCTGTCACTCTCTCTCTCTATCTCTCGCTCTCTCTCTCTCCCTCTCTCTCTCTCTCTCTCTCTCTCTCCCTCTCTCTCGCTCTCTCTATCTCTCTCTCGCTCTGTCTCTCTCTCCCTATGTGCATTGAGTAATTTCGTATTATCTCGCTGTCTGGTAAACCATGTATTGTGTGGTGTGTGATGTGTTTCTCTTGGTGTCAGGATCCTTTCGCACCGACCAATGTCGAGCGTGCCTCTGTCTCATGCATGGGTCGTCTCTGCGCCTCTTACAAGAAGCATATTGACAATGGTGATGTTCCAGAAGGTGGCCATCGTAAGTGCTGCTGCTGCTGATAATGTTGTATCACTGCTCTCTTGGTGTCCTAGACTTGTGTGTGTGTGTGCGTGCGTGCGTGTGTGTGCAGTTATTAGAGAACAAAAGTCCATACTTTTTGGTTGCCTTTTCTATGGTGCATGTCATCGGCTTCATTGTTATTCTTATCTGGGTGGTGGTGTCTTTACTCTTTAGTGAAGCTTTGCCCTGTTCCCCCATTCCGTCTTCTCTGCAGAACTGAACCTTTACGTCGCTGTAACTCTGAATCGTGCCGCTAACCTCGCGAAGGACACCTATAACCGCCTCTCAGCTGTTGCTGCGTTAGAAGCAATCAAGGAGTTGCTAGTTGAGCTGGAAGGTGTTGCCCTACCTAGTGACGAACACTTTACAGTTATCATTGGCGTTGTCGACGAGTTCCTCAATTTGAAGGTGAGAGTGGTGGGCGTGGTATAGGCGGTTCTGGAAAAGACTTTGTTGTGGCGAAACTGACAATGGTGTTGCTTTGTCTTCAAATGCTTGCTGGTACGTGTATTTTCAACAACTACTATTTTGCTTGTGTTTTCGTGTTGCTGTGTGCAGGCTGTGTGTCAGCAGAGCTCTTGCGACGAAGAGGACGGTGTAGAAGAGAAAGGAGTAAGTACTTGCTGTTGCTAGTGGTGGTGGTGCTGCTACTGCTGCTTCTTCTGTTGCTGGTCCTGCTGTTGCTGGTCCTGCTGCTGCTGCTAGTGGTCGTGGTCGTGGTCATGGTGGAGTTGCTGCTGGTGGTGGTCATTGTGGAGCCGCCGCTGCTGCTGCTGCTGGTGGTGGTGGTGGTGGTGATGCTGGTGGGTTTTTATTTTATATTTGCAATAACTTAGAGCCTAGATGGCTGGCTGTGATGTTTGCTATACATGTAGTGATTGATTGTAGCATTTGTTTTTGTGTGATATCTTGGAAGATTGTGTTGTTCTATATACAGTATCCAATATACTAGAATGTTGTGTAACTGTTTTCTGCTGCGTGCTGTTGTTTGTTGTTTGTACAGACGGAGTATGATCACTTGGTTGTAGAGACCGCTGGTGAGATCCTGCCTCCATTAGCGGCTGCCAAGGGTGGAGCAGAGTTTATACCCTACATCACCCAACTCTTGCCCAGCATACTGGCAAGAACAGTGAGTACAATGTCATGTACACAGCAGCAGCAGCAGATTGATAGTGTTCACACTCGTGTTGAATGTGTTATGTCTGCTGTCTCTGCTATGATTTGCCCATCCCCATGTTCAGCACGGTGGCCAGTACATGTAGTTTGGTCAGTGCCACCACGTTGGTACAGTGCAGTACTGGTCAGTGATATTCACCACCGTGAAAAAAGTAGTAGCCAGTGGTTTCAGTCTAATATTCTCATCTGCAGATCTGCAGCTGCTGACAAGTACAATGTACAGTACAGTGCTGCTCCATGAAACCGGATGACATGAGTCCAGTTTGTGCCCTGCGCCCAGTTCACATCTCAGTGTTCACAGGTGTGGGGCTGCACATAGCCCGGCGTGGTATTGACTCGCTTATCGGACTTCATTGGGCAGCACTGTAGTTGGATCGGGAAGCCTTCTCGGGCCATGGACTAGAATGGATTCTTTACTTCAAAGTATGTGTATTCAGATTGCACAGGAGTGACCATTACAAGATGTATTGGGGCAAGAAACGCTGCCGTTCCCAGCATTGCCATGAGCATTTCTGCTGGGTTCTGTTCTTCATTTTGTCATTTGTGCATTGTTTGCCTGGTGGAATCAGGCGGAGAAAATCAATCCTCTGTGAATCTTGATCATGACTGGCTTGATAAGTTATCAAGCATCTCAGCACTTTCAGCACACGGGTGCATCCTCCCTTGGTCTTGATAAGTTTCAGCTGTTGTTCTTGTATTACCTGCCTTGTTGACTGCTGTTGCTGCTATTGTTGGCTTGTATTCCATCAGGCAAAGGACTGCACAGACGCTGAGCGTTCGTTTGGATATGGCATTGTCGCTGAGGTATGTTCTGCTGTGGCATTGACACCGTTGCATGCTTGTGATTGCGTGCGAGTACTCTATACACGTGCTGCATCCTACTGCATCCTACTGTGCCTACAAACGTGTTGTGTGCATGAACATGTATACAGAGCTGTAGAGCAGCTGTGAGACTTGGGCATCACTCACAGGTATACAGAGCTGTAGAGCAGCTGTGAGACTTGGGACATCACTCACAGGTATACAGAGCTGTAGAGCAGCTGTGAGACTTGGGACATCACTCAGACATCACTCACAGGTAGTAGCTACAAGACTAGAGTGTAGTGGCTTCCATCTCACCGAATAAAGCGAGATTCACAGAAGCATTTTTGCGATGCGCGATGCGACGTCCGCGAAACCGGGAAATCCCCAAATCGCATCCATCTCGCAAGTCAGGAAACTGTCGCAACTGGCCCATCGCTAAAGTTGAGCTTGGCTCACCTTTAGCGAATACCATGGTGACGTACTCACCTGTGTTGCAAAGGAAGAATCCACAAGCGGGATTCGAATCCAGCACCCCCGTCTTTCCGGGACAGTGCCCTACCGGGGATCACACACACCCGTGGCTCCTTCCTACTACACTGCAGACAGAGAGAGAGAGAGAGAGAGAGAGAGAGAGAGAGAGAGAGAGAGAGAGAGAGAGAGAGAGAGACTTAGCTGTGTTGCGACTCCGAGTTTCACGTAAAATCACGATCATCAGGCACCGTAGATGTGAAACCTATAATATTGATGAGTGGCGTTTAAATGTACTACTGTAGTTACATGGAGAGCATTCCGCCTGTGCTGCTATTAGCCTGGCGTTTCGTGTTCAAACTGCAAGCAAGACGTTTTCATTGCAATGATTACTCAACATTTCCTACTGCTATTCAATACTCTTGTGCTGCTGGTGCTGCTTCTGTCGCTGCTCCTGCCTCTGCTCCTGCCTCTGATGGTGATGCTGATGTTGCTGCTGCTCATGTTGTTGGTGTTGGTTTTGCTGGTATAGGTACTAAAAGAGCTAGCAGAGCATGGTCAAGTGTTTGCTCAGCCTCTTTTGCCAATCCTGGTTAACGGTTGCAGTGATACTGATGATGAGGTGGCAAACAATGCTATCTACGGCATTGGCCTGCTCTGCCAGTATGGTGGTGCTGAGGTCAAGACGTATCCTCCCCTTGCTCCTTATACAGGTGGAATCCTGATAATTCAAATATTACTTAATTAGAACATACCGCTTAATTAGAAGTTTTTCCAGGACCGATTTCTATCAATACGATTTCCACATAACAATTTCTGATAATTCAAACCTCGAACTGGACATGTCCGGTTAATTAGAAGTCCCACGGATTCCACTTAGAGAAAATGTGTGGGATTTGTGCTGGTAATTCGAAGTTAGCAAAGTGTAATTCGAAGTTCACTGTACACTGCACTGGTCAGTTCAGTTTGCATGAGCAGGCTGTGCCGGTCATTTCAGTATCCCTGAAAATCTGTGTGCAAGGTCCAAAACGCCACTCTGCGTGACCATGAGATCGTTTTGACATACATATTCTGTTGTGGGTTCATGTTTGGATAATTAGAATGTCTGGATAGAAGTTTTTTCCTGGCATTTTGAGGTTCGAATTATCAGGATTCCACCTGTGCCCGAAGTCTCATTGTATGTATTACAGTTAGATGGGACTTTGCTCTGGGCATGGAAATTCTGTCGTTATTCGCGAATTGTCGTTATATCCTCCGTCGTTATTAGCGAGGTTGACTGTATGGACGGACTCCCTGAGTATACTATAACATCAAGGCAGTATGCTTAGGTACCTGATTCAGGCAGAGCAGCGTACACAAACGTTGTCTGATGATTGGTTCAGCCATGAAACTCTGAGTCACAACAGAATTTGCCCAAGGTTTTCATTGTGTGCCTTTGTGTATACTATAACACATAATGATGTAGCGTGTATGTTCCTTGACCAACCATACTACTACTTGTCCTAATACACGTGTACACAGGCACTTCTCCAGTATCCTGCAGATCCTATCCACAGCTCTGGAACAGCGTAAAGATGAGCAGCGAGTAATTGACAATATCTGCAGTTGTGTATGTCGTGTGCTGATGGCAGGTCTGGATATACTCCCCGGCAGTTTGGTACGTACATGTAGTGCACTGTATCGGTGTGTGGAGGGAATGTTCTATGAGCCTGTGCTATACTCGTGTATGTGTGTGTGTGTGCACGCGCGTGTGTGTGTGTGCGCGCGCGTGTGTGCGTGTGAGTTTGCGTCCTGTAAGTGGAGGTAAGTGGAGACCGTATACAGCAAGGTGTTGCTCTTGCAACGGTGAACAGTGACGGCTAGGTGTTTTGCAGGCTGTTGCAAGACCTTGCTGGGTGCTACTACTCAAGTATATATGTATGAATGGTTGTGGAATGTAGGTCCTCACCACATAATTATCTCCATGTTTTATCTGATGTTTGTCCCCACTATCTCCATGTTTTATCTGATGTTTGTCCCCACTATCTCCATGTTTTATCTGATGTTTGTCTCTATTATCTGCTTGTTTTTATATATCGATGTTTCCCATACTACTGTTGTGCCTGTTGTCAACTGCTTTTCTGTGCAGGTGTTAGGCACGCTCCTGCCCCATCTGCCCATCCAGCTGGACTTCCAGGAGAACCAGAATGTGTATGTAGAGTGCCTGGGTCGTCTCATTGAAGCCAACCACCCTGCTGTAAGTCTACATGTGTTACACTTGTGTGCTAGTGCAGCAGTCATGAGTGCTTGTCATGAGTGCAGCAGTCATGAGTGCTTGTCATGAGTGCTTGTCATGAGTACTTGTCATGAGTGCAGCAGTCATGAGTACTTGTCATGAGTACTTGTCATGAGTACTTGTCATGAGTGCAGCAGTCATGAGTGCAGCAGTCATGAGTGCAGCAGTCATGAGTGCAGCAGTCATGAGTGCAGCAGTCATGAGTGCTTGTCATGAGTACTTGTCATGGGTGCTTGTCATGAGTGCTTGTCATGAGTGCTTGTCATGAGTACTTGTCATGAGTACTTGTCATGAGTGCTTGATATGAGTGCATGATATGAGTGCATGATAAGAAATATGTTTACAATTTGACTACAAAACGTTTCAGCATCCGTGGACAACAATTTCAATCAAACACACTGCCGTTCTTTGGAGTTTGACCAAATTGTTTGCTGACTACAGGCCTACCCTGGTTAGTAGACAACCGTGGGGTTTCATTGTTTTGTCTTATAGTAACGAGTATTACCTACTATTCGGCCTTGCATATACGACTGTTGAATGCGTGTCAGGCATCACGGGATTTTGGAGCGTTGTCTACAAGTGAGAGTCCTCCAGCTCGGTAGAGTGCTCAATATTCGTTCGAATAGAGCTATCTTACACAGGGCACAGAGCTATCTTACACAGGGCACAGAGCACCACGTATCATTCGTTGTAACTAATAGTTACATGCCCATAGGCAATCATAGGCAATCATAGGCAATCATCAGACACCTAATACAGTACTGGGTGAACAGCCAAGATCCAATTATATGCAGTAGTGTCACAGGGGCTGCGATATGTGTAAGCAAGAGTGAGGAATTTCATACATGGATTCAGCGGGCCTAGCAAGAGTAATTTAGGTCACAACTTTGTACTTGCCAAGCAGGAACTTCGCAGCATGGCGACACTTCGACACAATCTCCGTGTGCTTGTTGAGTGAGATTCTGCGGTCTGATGCAAGGATGTGGTACTTCTCGGCTATGCAGAGGTTGCAGCGCTTTGCGACGTTGGAGTAGGCATTAGCACGCTCCTTGACAGCCCAGGAAATCTCGTAAGGTCTATCCTGGCGTTTAAGGCCCCACACATACCTAGCCAGCTGAGTGCTGCTATCATAGCCCTCGTGTCTTAGCGTGGTCATGTGGTTGGAGTGTCTGCTCTTGAATTCTGGCGCCGACATCCCAGTGTATGTTCTTAAGGTGCTCAGTGGGCATAGCGCTAGAACACGGCAATTGCATGGTAAATCATCACATTCAGCGGGCATAGCGCTGGAACACGGCAATTGCATGGTAAATCATGTGGGCATAGCACTGGAACACGGCAATTGCATGGTAAATCATGTGGGCATAGCGCTGGAACACGGCAATTGCATGGTAAATCATGTGGGCATAGCGCTGGAACACGGCAATTGCATGGTAAATCATGTGGGCATAGTGCTGGAACACGGCAATTGCATGGTAAATCATGTGGGCATAGCGCTTGAACACGGCAATTGCATGGTAAATCATGTGGGCATAGCGCTGGAACACGGCAATTGCATGGTAAATCATGTGGGCATAGCGCTGGAACACGGCAATTGCATGGTAAATCATGTGGGCATAGCGCTGGAACACGGCAATTGCATGGTAAATCATGTGGGCATAGCGCTGGAACACGGCAATTGCATGGTAAATCATGTGGGCATAGCGCTGGAACACGGCAATTGCATGGTAAATCATGTGGGCATAGCGCTGGAACACGGCAATTGCATGGTAAATCATGTGGGCATAGTGCTGGAACACGGCAATTGCATGGTAAATCATGTGGGCATAGCGCTTGAACACGGCAATTGCATGGTAAATCATGTGGGCATAGCGCTGGAACACGGCAATTGCATGGTAAATCATGTGGGCATAGCGCTGGAACACGGCAATTGCATGGTAAATCATGTGGGCATAGCGCTGGAACACGGCAATTGCATGGTAAATCATGTGGGCATAGCGCTGGAACACGGCAATTGCATGGTAAATCATGTGGGCATAGCGCTGGAACACGGCAATTGCATGGTAAATCATGTGGGCATAGCGCTGGAACACGGCAATTGCATGGTAAATCATGTGGGCATAGCGCTGGAACACGGCAATTGCATGGTAAATCATGTGGGCATAGCGCTGGAACACGGCAATTGCACTTTTCGGGGTGTAGTACTTGTTGTGTCCTTTTATTCTGGTTTCCATACTCGGCATGCAGCATACTCGGCATGCAGCATACTCGGCATGCAGCTATAGCTCACCTTTACGGTATTGCGGTTAAAGAGCTTTCTCAATCTGGATCCATTGGGGAAATGTTTCGATATCAGCGCGAGAAACTGTCCGGCGATGTTTGTTCTCACGTTCGCACTGTATGGAGGGTTGAACCATATCACGTTTCGCTTTCGCCCCTTTCGTCTACGCGGCTGCGTTTCGCCATCGCTGTACGTTAGATGTGTTGTGTGTCCGCCAGCGGCACGTGTGCTGGCATACTCCGGCGCCGCTTCCTCAAACCCCTTCTTGGAGCTGGATATTGAAGACAACCGCTTGTTGATGCCCGCTGGTATTTTTTCAGGACCTGTGGCTCACATACAGGGGGGGGGGGGGGGGGGGGGGGCGTCATTGGGTTTCCTGTATGGCTTGAATGTTCCCGATCGTAAGCACATGGTGATATCCAGATAATTGACAGTGCTCGTATTGGACCCAGTCGTGATTTTCAGCCCGCATGCTTTGAAGACTTCAGTAACCTGCTTCCTTGTTCTGTCCGCCATAGGCCCACTAGCGTCCTTCAGCACTGCCAGACCGTTGTCCCGATACAGACCCACAGACTGTCTGCTGAGGTGCGCAGTGAGCTTCTCGAGAATGTATAGTCCGACTAGCTAACAAGCCTCCGCACCGTCATATGCACCCATGGTGACATCGAACATGTCTCCCCTTCCCTGCTTTGACCAAACCTGACCATAGCAGCAACTTCCGGGCATGCATAGCGGTGTCTGTATCATCCTGGCTCACTTGCACGTGCGTCTGGGTGAAGTTCAAGGCATCAAGGAGGAGCTCCTTCGTGATGGATGGATAGAAGTTTACTATATCAAACACCAGGAAGGAGTGTCGTTCCTTCTCCTCGATGCCCTTGAACCAGTCCGTCAGATCCGTAGTGCTTCTTCATTGCCTTGCCCCTGAGCGTTGTCTACTGACTGTTGTCTACTAATGAGGTTTGTCTTGTAACCGATGTCCTACTAACCAGGGTAGACCTGTAATGTTCTGCTTGTGCAGTAGATCTTGTGCAGTAGATCTTGTGCAGTAGATCTTGTGCAGTAGATCTTGTGCAGTAGATCTTGTGCATGTGTGCAGTGTTAACTTTGCTCAGCTGGCAGCCATTTTCTTTTGTAGCGGGTCCATCACTGCAAGACAATGACTCTTTGTGCTCGCTGAGTGGCAATGACTCAGAAAATAATTTTTCAGAATCACACTTTGTGTAATGTTTGGCTGTGCGTACGTGCATGGCGTGTGTGTGTGTGTGCGTGTGCGTGTGTGTTGCTGACGTTGACTTGATGCTGCTGTTGTAGATTGCTGAGCACCGTGTCACCATTGCACAACTCTTCCAAACTGTGCTATCTGACGTAGAAAAGTATGAGCTAGACAAAGGTAAGGAGAATGCATGTCTTAAGCCTGTTTCATACTTCATCTCACGTACGGGAAACCCATCGCGCGACCGTCGCGCAATGGGTTTTGCGACGCGTTTTCCGTACGCGACATGAAGTAGGAATCGGCCTTTAGTAGTCCAGTCAGACCTCACCGCACACATCCGTTTTCCACCAAAATATCCGGATAGGCGAGGGAACCGGATAATCGAACACACATACTGTATGTATGCATGACGTATACTGTAAATCGGGAACCAATGATTTTTTTCCGGATGGCAAGGGATCCAGATAAAACAGGACCGGATAAGCAAGGTCTGACTGTAGTAGTTGTAACGTTTTTAAATTTCTTGCTAGAACAAGAGGTTTGGGGACAAGGGTCTGATGTTAGCTAGCAGCTGTGCAGTTATTGCACAGAATGTGTTGCATACCTACATTGTTATCTGATGTTTGTACTAGTTTTGTACTAGTTCCAGTATTTTGTGCTTGGTCAGAGCGGGGAACAGTGCTCATGGTTCGGAGTTCAGTTTCGAGCTCCCCTGTCAAACAGTGTACATCATCAGGGGTGGATCCAAGGATCTTGACAGGGGGAGTGCAGAGTAGCAATGAATCCCCGTCTCTCTTCCCTGTAGTACACTGGTGTATTTACACTTTGACATGCCTTTTTTGTTTTGTTTTCTGAAGGCACACCTCCATTGGTGGAAGCAGTGACAAGGAGTTTTCAACAGCTGCAGTAGAGTTCCAACTCTGTAACATGTCATGTGTGACACCAACAACACTTGACCTCATCATAACAGTGCAATGTGCTTCAGTCATCAACCCACTTGATTTCTTCACACACTGCAATCAGTGCAGTCAGCGCCACCATCGCCATCAAGTCAACGCCGCCATCAAGATCAGGGCAAGTAAAGCATAGTTTAGCCAGGTGATCTCAGCTACAGTCCACCACTTTCCTGGATTCGTGCCAGAGTGGCTACAACAGTACATGTACAACTTACTTTCCCACATCCTGCTGCTGCGACTACTGGCCGGCAGGCGTGTTGCCTAGTATCGATACTGTGCAATGCACTAGCTGTCTGCTAACTGTCTGCATCACTGCTGCCGCTGCTGCTGCTTTTCCAAGCAGCGCGCCGACCAGGAAAGCAGTGCAGTGTGTGGGTAGGTTTGCGTGTGTGCGCGCGCACGTGTGTGTGTGTGTGTGTGTTGGCCACGCTCCTGGAAGACTTCTTCTGGACTTGATCGGCAGCTGGGAGTTTGAACCGTAAAGCTGTTCTAGGTGTCATTACGTCGTCGGGTGGTGGTTTAGCTAGCACATAGTAAGTGGCCACTGACTGCTAATCCTGAGCTGCAACACAGTGCTGAAATGGATGACCATGATCTTGGCCGAAGCAATTATGCCCCGCATAGCTACTGTCTGCGACTCCAACCAGTCTCAACGCAGTGTCCCTATGTTCCCTTCATATTGTCTTCTTTTTCACAACTCCATGTGTAACTTATTAGCTGAGTGCTACAGTACAGTTGAGACGCCAGAAATCGACAACAGCATATTCTAATGAACATAGTTGTGCCCAGCACGGCAGAGTAGCCATTTTGCAGGGTGCTTGCATGTGTACGTGCATGTGCATGTGTGTTAGCTTACTACTGGTATTCTTGCCTAGGTGTGTTAGCTTACTACTGGTATTCTTGCTTAGGTGTCGCTAACAGCTGGCACATGTAGTGATATCTGCCACTACGGCCGTAACACATCGTAACACATCACCATTGTATGTTTGTCTCGATATAGCTGTTGTGCTTGCTACATAATTATTCTAGTTTCTTTCTCCGTCGTCTGCTTCTGGTGTTGCTCGGCCCTTTATCTGCCGTCTGATCTTGCTCTGTCCTTTATCCGCTTTCTTCTCTTGCTCTGTCCTTTATCCGCCGTCTGATCTTGCTCTGCCCGTTATCCGCCGTCTGATCTTTTGCTCTGCCCTTTATTCGCCGTCTGATCTTGCTCTGCCCGTTATCCGCCGTCTGATCTTCCTCTGCCCTTTATCCGCCGTCTGATCTTTTGCTCTGTCCCTCTGTACAACTTTAGGTGTCATTCTATATGTTTACGCGTAGTAGTGTGGTAATGTGCTTTGGTTGGACGCTAGTATTTGATTGCATACGTTATTGCATACGTTGTTTTCCTTGTGCAAATCCCGAAAAATGGCACAGGTTCTAGCTTTTATCTACGTTTTCTTTGACTGATTTTATTGCTTCTGCTTTTTCTTCTTCAAAAGTTATTTTTCGTAGATATAATCACATACAAGACCCATTTTAAGACCTTTAAAAACACACACACACAATACAAATGTTACGAAGATGGGTGATATACAGCTGGACTATGCATCAATGATGTGCCGACATACAGCACGATGCTTCTACCAAAAGAAGAAGTTTCTACCGGTGTAGATCAAAAATGAACCTCCACTTCCCCCCTCCCCGGGAGTTCACACATTTGGACTTTTGATAATGATCATAAAAACAACTTCAGAATGCTGAGGCAAGCAGGAACAAACAAAAGGCATACCGTGTAATGCACTGCAATGCAACACAGAAACATAGTGATGACTTGCTGGCCGCCGGCTGGTAAAAAAAAACGCTTTGTAATTTAGCTAAAGCTGCATATGACTGTTATACCTTTTGTGGCTTAGAACTCACTTTTCAATGTAACTCAGTAACTCAGTAGATACATTGTACATTGTACATGGATGGATGGATGGATGCGTGAATAAAGTAAAGAAAACATACGGGGGGGGGGGGGGGTGCTGCAGGTCTGTGGTGCTACGAGAGGTTAGATCACAAATTCAAGGTGAAGCACATTCAGAATTATGAAGAAAACCAAACCCAAGCATGCGGCATGCCCTTGACGCAGCAACAGGGATAGATGATGAATACTGGGATGTGTGCTGCAGCCGCATACTATGCATAAGAAGATCATGGCGGAGAACATTCCACGAAGGAAACAAAAAACACACACAAGACGTGCCCCTCGAGGCAGAACCATGGCACGGGAAGTGTACTAGACTGACCTGGAGCAGTCGTGTGCAACATACGCAGTGCAAGGAGCAAAAAATGGCATAGGCCAGAGCAAGACATACACATTCCATAAAGGGAGAAAAAAAGCACAAGACGCGCAGCAAGACATACTTGCGCCCAACAGGGTTAAAATGATACTTAGAGAGAGAGAGAGAGAGAGAGAGAGAGAGAGAGAGAGAGAGAGAGAGAGAGAGAGAGAGAGAGAGAGAAAGCAAGGACCGGGCATGCTAGTCCGAGCTAGACAAAGTACATGCTCTTCAGGTGCTCTGGGGTCATCTCAAGCGCACGCTGCAGCTCCTCTATACTCGTCCTCGGTGGTCCACTGCCAGCTGACACTCTGGACGCGCTGTAGGGGTGATCATCAGACATGCACACACGCACGCACGCGCGCACACACACACACACACACACACACATCAATACACAGCAAAACACATGCAGTAACATTACCAGCAGGTTGGCAACATGTTTCTCCCTCTCCCTCTGGTTTCGGAAACCCTTTTTGCAGAAGTTAAGCCGCGTTCACAACTGGCGCATGGACGCGGTACGCTTGCGGTTCATGTGTGCCCAAACACACACTCGAGCTTTCACAAATAAGTAAAAAACAGCAATTCGAGTCTCAATTAGGGTGCGTTCTTATATTCTCTAGCTTCTAGGAGAAGAAGAAAAGAGAAGTCGAAGAAACTGGGATTATTCAAGAACGGGTCTTGAAGAATTCGGAGATATTTTGCACATGTCAAGCAAAATGAAGCGTCAAAGGGTCTTGAGTGAATGTAGTATGCACTTGTGCGTATGTGAAAAGGGAAATGCGTACACTCATGATCAACACGTGGCTTTTAGTCGTAGTTCGCATGCGCTGATCCCAAACCGCGGGAATCTCCAAGTTTCAACCACCTCTGAAGCTTGGAGAGCTTGGGAGAGCTTTGGAGAGCCTCCTAAAAGCCGGAGAGGATATAAGAACAGCTCTCGAACTTTTCGGAGAGTCTCCAACTTTCCGAGAGGATTTAAGAACGCACCCTAAGGGTGTGCAACGCCTTCGAGTACTAATTGTTTGACCCAGCCAGTCAAAGTGACTGGCATGTACTCCGGTACGTGCCTGATACCCGCTGAAAACTACAACATGTTAGAATTTCAGTTTTGGACCTGCTTTCCCAACAATTTTACCTGCAAATACTGCAAATACTGGTACAATACACTGGTCGGATTTCAAACAAAGCCTTCTAAGTTGTTAGAATTTCAGTTTTGGACCTGCTTTCCCAACAATTTTACCTGCAAATACTGCAAATACTGGTACAATACACTGGTCGGATTTCAAACAAAGCCTTCTAAGTTAACGAGAGATATTGATAGATATCATAAGCTTACCATGTGAAAGACTGCACTATCGTTACAAAGTCATACAGTAGTTGTTGCCTGATGATTGCGTGAGGCATGAAACTTAAAGTAGCAGCAAACAAGCCTTGATTGTCCTTGTTATTCTGTTGTGCAAAGTCATACAGTATGTACTTGTGATGATAGAGAGGTTCCGCATAACGTAATTACGTTAGTAAAAAAACGTAGTCGATCTACGGAGAGTGTTACGTAAACTGCATGCGGATCTGTGTTGCAAATCACGTAGCTGAACGTGGCAGTGTATGACCGGATCGACCTGGGGAGAGAGTCATAAATTAGTACCCCAATCCACTTACGAAGCACCTACGTTATCAGAGCCCCTATTTACGTACTCTACGTAGACAACTTTCTGTAAGTAGAGTGCAAACTCGCGAATTCACAGGCTTTTCCCGCCCACTAATGCAAAGTTGCTCAACGTTACGTAGTGCGGAACCTCTCTAATTAATATTATACAAAGTCACACAGTATGTACTCTTGATGTCATTATTAACTTAAAGGGGAAGTTAAGGCTAAAATCAAATTTTCACCAGTTGTAGTCTTCGGGGTCCGGAGTCGAATGGTTTTGGTCAGAGGAAGCCGAGACGCTCCCTTCCTCCTTTATTCCCAATCGAACTCGCGCACTTCCACCGAAACTGGGTGACTGCGCCCTACTAGATGGGGATTTGTATGCAAAATGTCACTAAAAGCGTCATGTTGTCCTTATAAAAGCACGGATCGCGATTGGCCCATATGTTGTAGTTTTTTGGACGCCGAGTCAACTGGTTTTGGTCCGACAGGGCTGCGATATAGCGTTCAGCCCTTATTCCCAATCGAACATGGCTGAACAAGCAGTCACGTGCTCGTGCGTACTCCAGTCACCTGGTCACCGTGCCTGCAGGTTACAACTTACAACTTGAGTGAGTTTCTGTCACTCGAGTTGAACCTTGATGTGAAAGTTGTCCCCTGCTGGCGCGGTGACCAGGTGACTGGTGTACGCAGAAGTACATGACCGCTTGTTCAGCCATGTTCGATTGGGAATAAGGGCCGAACGCTACATCGCAGCCCTTTCGGACCAAAACCAGTCGACTCAGCGTCCAAAAGACTACAACATATGGGCCCATCGCGGTGATTCGTGCTTATAAGAACGAAATGGTGCTTTTAGTGACATTTTGCATACAAATCCCCATCTAGTAGGGCGCAGTCACCCAGTTTCGGTGGAAGTGCGCGAGTTCGATTGGGAATAAAGGAGGAAGGGAGCATCGCAGCTTCCCCGGATCAAGACCATTCGGCTCAGCACTCCGAAGACTACAACTGGCGACCATTTGATTTTAGGCTTAACTTCCCCTTTAACCTTTTCACGGTCTCACATTTGAAAATTGATCACCGGTGATCGATTTTTTCAAACTGTCGTAACTCAATTTTTGACCAAATTCGAACATCTAAATATCTGGGTTGAAGAGAAACCTCCAGGCTATCCGTAGGAACAATCGCCGAAGCGATAGAGTGAATGGCTGCAATGCTACGAAACTCGCGATCTGCGCCACGGCTCATTTGCGATTTGAGTGGGCGAGCTGGGTCTTGAGGACGGGTTTCCCTTTGCAGCCGGCTGTTGCCATAGAGACACAAATTCAAATGAGAGCATGGACTCGCGATTTACACCCAAAACAGCGCAACCTTATACGCCGCGTGTTCATATTAGCACCCCCGGTATAGCACGACCTAATGTGACCCTCTGTCACCACAGCTCGGCTCATCACTTGCACACCCCATTCTAGCGTGATCAATTACGTTAGCGACGGTCCAAATTAAAGCCAGCTCATTACACACGTGACCCATAATGTGCAGGCCCACGTTATTATTACCATGGAGGATATCGACAACAGCGTGGGCAGCAGCGAAGACACAACGAGTAGAGAGATGAGCAGAGAAGATACAAGTGGAGACGATCTCGAGACGAGTGAGTACGAGGCGGAGGACATTGGCGAAGCCAGCTCTAACGACACCAGTAGCGGGGAAAGCAAGGGCCCCGGACCGGACCTTGAACACAACAACGAAGAGAGCAATTACGAAGACGCCGCTTCGGCAATTCTGACTGTGACACAGGAAGGAGGCTATGGTGCTACTCACCATGGTTACTCCTATAGGAAGGACAAGAAGAAAGCAGACGGCAGGATTACTTGGCGATATACTAGGCCAGCATGTGGTGGGCATCTGACAACAGCTGGAAGTCTGCTCAAAGATGAAGAGGACAACACTGCAGCAGTAACCACAGAGCACAACCATCCGCCGATTCCCGAGCAGGTAGAAGTGAGGAGAGCTGTGAGTAGCATGAAGCGTCTCTGTCGGCAAGGCGGCACAGGCGTAAGAACTATAATACGACGAGGAGTCCACCAACCTGCCAGCGCCAGTTGCCACTCATTTGCCGCTCATTCAACTCTCTGGACTCCACTCTGTTTAGATGTCGAAGAGAGCGGTACCCTGCACTGCCTCGAACGCGTGCAGAAATCGATATTCCTGATGTTTTCCGCCGAACGCAAAAGGTCACGGCTTCTTCCTGGCATCCATCGGATATGAGAATGACATCCCCTCCTGATCTGTAGAGAGTCTATAGTCAATCCTGGTTCATGGACGGAACATTCAAAGTCACCCCGACGGAACATTCAAAGTCACCCCGACGGAACATTCAAAGTCACCCCTGCTCTGTACACACAGCTTACGACCTGCATTGTGCGTGTGCGCTGACGGGGGGGGTGAAGTCATTGTTTTGGGTCACGCTCATGCGGGGGCATACGGACGATTTTGAAACCTGCAAAGAGGACATAGTTTACCGTAGCAAATTGCTCTTCGTGTTACGGTGTGAGGTGCACTTTCGGACAGTAGGGGTGACAGTGCATGGGGTCAGTGCATATAGGCCAGCAGATCTTGCAAAAATGGGGTGGTCGTTTGCAGCGGACTTTACGGTCTATGACAAGTAGATTTTGCTCATGGTTTTTGTACTGAGTGCATAACTTCCTCTTTTCAGTGCGTTGATATTATTACTATTATCCATCAGCACTCAGCAGAAGGTCTGAGATTGGAAACCAGCGGGCTAGCAGCCAGAGAAACAATACTGAACTTACAGATCAGACTGGTCAAGAGGATCGATGAGATGGCGTGCTCGGAATGCCACCAGATGAGCGTAGTAGGCTGGCGCTGGAATGCTGACGCTCCGTGCACAGCGGGCGTAAGTGTGGCACAGGTGATAGGTCAGCAGCTGTACTGCATCCTGAGATAACTTGTTGTCATCCCATAGCACACGGTAGTGAGCCGGTCGACTTGTGCCCTACAAGTACACATCAACACATACACACATCACATCAGACCCCAGACCTCAGACCTCAGACCTGCCCATCGCGGAAGCGATGATAGAAAACAGCTACACTGTATGTTAGACATAGCAACTTGTGCTGGGATTACACCATTCAACAGCTATGTTAGACATAGCAGCTTGTGCTGGGATTACACCATTCAACAGCTCGCAAGGCTGATGAATTGACCGCCACTACTTTTAGCCTGGTCTACACCACACAGCTGATTGAAGTGGCTTTTTTCTAGCCAGTGAATCCCTATTTTTCATTTTTCATTTTTATATTCTCTCTATTTTTTACACACAAACCACATACTCCGGCATGCACTGGCTGTTGGTAACCACCCAGGAGAATGAAAGTAGAGCTAGGAGAATGAGAAAGAGAAGACGTGAAGATTACCAGCAGTCCACACTTTCAGGATTGCCAGCAGTCCACACACGGCAGGTGCAATATGCATTCCAAAATGCTTGAACTTAGAAGAAGAAGAAGTAGTAGAAGAAGAAGAAGTAGAAGAAGAAGAAGAAGTTGGCTGGCCTTTGGTGTGTATGTAAGGTATGTATGTTATGGTACTCTTACCAGTCACCACACTAAGTTATACACAGAAATCTGGAACAGGGCTCTGTGCCTCTGCGCATGGGACTCCATTGTGCACTGCATGTTTGAACGGAAAACAGCCAGGCTTTGACCGGAAAACAGCCAGGTTTTGTCAGCAGACAGTTGTCTAAGTCAACCCAAACACATTCACAGAAACGTAAATTACGTGCTAGCAGACATAAAATTCGAACAGTACAGGTTTCTGTAGATTCACCTGACCTTACCTGAATGCCATAGTGGCTGCATAAGAAAAAGTCGTGTTCTGTTGGGTGTGCCACACCGCGATCTACTACCGTACCAGCTGGTATGTTGCGACCTTTGCCTTGCTCATCCCTGGGATTGTTGCAGAAGAAACGGGTGTGATGGCGTTTCTGGACTGTGATGAATGTGATGCCAGGCCGATAATCCTTATCCAGAGAGATACACGCTCTGCGAATAGATCGCAGCTCTTCTTCAAGACAGGCTTGAAATTGGCCCTCACTGACACCGTCACGATACATAATGATACGTAGTGGCTGTCTTCCGGTGCTGCGGTAGAATTCCATCAGCAACGTGCGCGTCATGCCTTGCAATTCAGTTATTATCTCCTGTGTTGGTAAATCAGCCATGTACGTAGCCATACACACACATACACATACACACACACACACACACACACACACACACACACACACACACACACACACACACACACACACACACACACACACACACACACACACACACACACACACACACACACACACACACACACACACACACACACACACACACACACACACACACACACACACACACACACCAATATTATACATATACACATAAACCAGGGTTCTAGCCAGGTCAAAATAGCAGAGGGGACATTTACCCGTAAGTAAGGGCCGTAATCAATTTTTCCATTTTCCAAAATTGTCTAGCCATGCATAACGCAAAGTACAGAGGCGAACCCCCCCCCCCACTTCACCCATACAAATGAGCCTTTACCCTAGTAAAATAAAAGTTAATAATAATAATGTCGTGACCCGAGTTTGAAGGTGGACCACACGGTGGCAAGTGACAGGTAGCAGATACATCAGCAAGTCGCATTGGCCATGCATCAGAATTGGGTCAATCAGATTTAGTTCATACTATGGTTAATACTATACATGTGTAAGCTGTATTTCACTAGCTCTGATCTGCAACTCTTCTTCATGTACACATTATTGAGACGCTAAGGATTTCTACTATATTACTGTACTATGAATTATCATAATTATGACCCTAGCTTCTACCTATGACCCTAGCTTCTACCTATGACCCTAGCTTCTACCTATGACCCTAGCTTCTACCTATGACCCTAGCTTCTACCTATGACCCTAGCTTCTACCTATGACCCTAGCTTCTACCTATGACCCTAGCTTCTACCTATGACCCTAGCTTCTACCTATGACCCTAGCTTCTACCTATGACCCTAGCTTCTACCTATGACCCTAGCTTCTACCTATGACCCTAGCTTCTACCTATGACCCTAGCTTCTACCTATGACCCTAGCTTCTACCTATGACCCTAGCTTCTACCTATGACCCTAGCTTCTACCTATGACCCTAGCTTCTACCTATGACCCTAGCTTCTACCTATGACCCTAGCTTCTACCTATGACCCTAGCTTCTACCTATGACCCTAGCTTCTACCTATGACCCTAGCTTCTACCTATGACCCTAGCTTCTACCTATGACCCTAGCTTCTACCTATGACCCTAGCTTCTACCTATGACCCTAGCTTCTACCTATGACCCTAGCTTCTACCTATGACCCTAGCTTCTACCTATGACCCTAGCTTCTACCTATGACCCTAGCTTCTACCTATGACCCTAGCTTCTACCTATGACCCTAGCTTCTACCTATGACCCTAGCTTCTACCTATGACCCTAGCTTCTACCTATGACCCTAGCTTCTACCTATGACCCTAGCTTCTACCTATGACCCTAGCTTCTACCTATGACCCTAGCTTCTACCTATGACCCTAGCTTCTACCTATGACCCTAGCTTCTACCTATGACCCTAGCTTCTACCTATGACCCTAGCTTCTACCTATGACCCTAGCTTCTACCTATGACCCTAGCTTCTACCTATGACCCTAGCTTCTACCTATGACCCTAGCTTCTACCTATGACCCTAGCTTCTACCTATGACCCTAGCTTCTACCTATGACCCTAGCTTCTACCTATGACCCTAGCTTCTACCTATGACCCTAGCTTCTACCTATGACCCTAGCTTCTACCTATGACTCTAGCTTCTACCGTTAAAACCTTCTCTTAGGGGGTGATTATATGTGCAGCTCAACGCCCGGGCTGATCGACAGGCGAGTCAGCCCGCCTGCAACGGGATCTCGGGGTTGTACACAAATCCACTCAAAACCTGTGGTGCGTTTACATGGCAAGCGGGCTGGCCTGGCGAGGCGGGATCCCGCCTCGAGGCACCCGGGATCCCGGCTAGACGGGCCAGAAAAATGATGTATTCATGTAATGAATTCAGTTTAGCGTAGGCGCACATCTCGCAACTACGTATCTGCTGCGCAACAGTGCCCTCTACGGTTCTGGCCGCGTCACTTGTTTAGCGCGCCTTGCCGCGACCGGCAAGACTGCCTGCTGTGCATCACATTAATTTATGCGTACGCCATCACAATAATTAATTCAGTTTTGATCGGGTCCGAGTCCGCAACGTGGCACATCTCCTTGCAATTCTCAGTTTTGAGTCTTCTCTGCTTTGGCCCGTGCCCGACTTGCAACCTGCAACCTGCTGCCTTTGTCTTTTGCTGACCCACCATCCCACCACTAACCATTAATACTACATTGCATCATTCCTACTTCAAGTACAATAAACCTGGTGGCGAGTCACTCATAACTGGTCTGCCTTTCTATTGCGGCCTTATGGCCTTATTGTCCTGCCTTTCCATTGCGGCCGGCAATCACAGCCTCCGGGCTTCTGCCTTCCTGCGGCAATCACAGCCTCCGGGCTTCTGCCTTTCTGCGGCACTTGCAGCCTCACGGGCTCGTGCCTACCTTGCGGCAAAGACCAACCAGTTCCTCGTCACCAGTACTTGCCCAACACAACCTAGCCTTATTCGTGTGGTGTATGCTTGTCTGCATGCCGTCTGTGTGCGCGGAATGCTAATGATGTATGCCTGTCTGCATGCCGTCTGTGTGCGCGGAATGCTAAGCACATATAAACAGACCAGCCCGGGCCAGAGTTGTATTATTATGGGGTCGACACTGTGTTCATACTACAAAATAGGTACTTTTACCTTTTGAGGGAAGTTATAAAGAGGATTCCCGATATTGCCTTGAAAATCTATGAAGCTTTTGTACAGCACCAAGAAGGACGTGCTGTGAGCACTGTTTATTTGTCGACATACATGATTGTATTTTACAATAGAAGGGGAACTACTTGCAAAACACTTTGATATGGACAACTAAAAGTGTGAAAAACAGGAAAAAGAAACGAGGTGATACAACACACCAAGCATGTGCCATAGCACGTAGCTACGGAATTAAAATGATACTGCTCCTGGCTAAAACTGACCTTTCTGCGATCCTGAACGCGCATTTGAGTCCCATATTTCATCGGGAATGAATCCATACTACCCACCACCTGACAACATAAACACAATCAACAGTCACATGGACAATTGCAGCAGCAGCTGTGTGTATAGTACAGCTGTGTGTGTAGTACGTTGTGCATTTGTATTCACGGGCCTGTTCGGTGGGGACCAAGCGAAAGAATGGAGGTTTTAATCCTTGAGCCGTGCAAACTGTTCAACAGTGCAGTCCCCAACATGCCTCGCACAAGATGTTACTAGAATAGCTTCTGCTGTAGCATGGTTATCATCGCCAAGAAAACTTCAGTTTTCATGGTGTGCTGGTGTGCGCTCGTGCGCGTGTGTGCGTGCGTGCATGCGTGTAGTGTAGCAGTGTAGCTAGTTCACTGTACACAAGAGAGAGATTGGAAGATTTGTTACAACTCTGAGTTTCACGTATTACTACAATCATCAGCTCACTGTACATATACTTACAGCCGCTATGGATGGACTGCTCAAGTTCGAAACGGCTGGATGAGTCACATCAGCACCAAGAACAATAATGGGTTCTTTGAAGAACGGGTGCCTGAGCAAACACACAAAGGATACAGGATCTGTAACGGATATGTTTGGTACAACGCTCAGTCTGCACAGGCACAGGCAGAATCAGCACTAGGAGTTCACAGTTGAATCATTGTCCCACATTGAGCAACAATATGAGAGCAAACGCAACTTGTGGACGTGAGTGCAATAGCTCATCCAGGCACTATGGGGCAGCTCTCAAAAGGCATGCAAGCAACTGTGCTGCTGCTGCCGAGAGTCTAGTGACACTATCTGGAGAGACGAGATCTCTCTGTAACTTTTCAAGGAGTCCGAGATGAAGGAATTCCATCACTGGCGAGCGAAATTAGAATTTTTATACAAGTGAATTTTTACAAGTGAATTTTACACGTGTGCATTCTGGCTGGCATTCTTTTTTTTCTTTTTTTCCATGGTATCTCTATTCCATGGTATCTCTATTCCATGGTATCTCTATTCCATGGTATCTCTTGTAGTGGATGCACATCCCACTGTTTGTCATTGTATCCTTTTATGTAACATGTATGCATTCATCCGGCCGCGCTGTGCGACATGCCAGTTGTACCGTACGCACTTTAGCTGTACTTGCCTGCCTGGCTTTTCCTTTGATCTCTCTGTCGTTCTCTGTATTCCCACACACTTGTGATTTGTAGTAACGAAGCTAGTTACAAGATGTCTTTGGTGCGTTTGTAGAACCACTACATGGTGTCAGAATTGGTTTTCCTGTAGTCTTTGGCCTCGTGAGCGGTGATGGCTCGTTTCAACCCTCCAGCGCCTTTCGACTTCAGCTCACCGGACCAGTGGCCCGCGTGGAAACTCCGTTTCACCCGTTTTCGTGCCGCCACCAAACTGAGTTCCGACCCGGGAGAAACTCAGGTGGCCACTTTGTTGTATGCTCTCGGACCCAACGCCGACTCCTTGTTCGAGTACCAACTCGGACTATCCGAGGACGACAAGAAGAAATATGACGAGGTCGTCAGTGCTTTCGACACGTACTTCCGCCCCTCTACCAATGTTGTTCATGAACGGGCTAAATTTGAACAGCTTGTACAACAACCCGGCCAGACCGTAGAGGAGTTTGTCCGTGCTCTGTACAAAGCTGCAGAGTATTGTGAGTTTGCTGGCACGAAGGATGAGCGTATCAGAGACCGCTTCGTCGCCCACATGCTGGACAAGCGGGTGAGTCGGGAGCTGCAGATGAAAGACAAGAGCGAGCAAACTCTCGCCAAAGTTGTTGCGTTCGCACGGCACGCCGAAACCGTCCAGCAACAGGTTGCAGCCCAATCGCGCAGTGGCTTGGCCGCCGCCAGCTCGATTTCAGACGATGACGCCTCAGCCTCAGCTGTCCAGTCGCACCGTGGTGGTCGATCTATGCCGAAGAGCAGACCGCATGGTAGCTACAAATCTGCAGCAACGCCGCCTGCGACCGAATCGAAGTGCCCGAACTGTGGTGGAAGCCACCACTCGCAACGCGATCAGTGCCCAGCCAGAGGCCAGTGCTGCAAAGCCTGTGGCAAGCGCAACCACTTCGCGCGAGTTTGCCGATCGAAACCGTCCACCTCTGCCGTCACGAACGACTCTCCGGACTCTCTATTTGTTGGCCACACGACGTGCGCACAAAGTGTAAGTGATTCACCCTGGTTGGCAGATCTAGCTATCGGAAAGAGTGTAGTCCAGTTCAAGCTAGATACTGGAGCTGATGTCTCTACCATGTCCGTGCAATCATACAATACACTGCAGCCCAAGCCGTCCTTATCTGCTACTAGTGCCCAGCTGAGAGGAGCGAATGACCAGACTATGCAGGTCCTGGGTGTATTTGAGGCTCACTGCTCCTTTCAATCTCAGTCCACTACCATACCCATCTTTGTTCTAGATGGTGCCAGCACTAGCCTGCTCAGCCGATCTGCGTGCACAGCACTGGGTCTAGTCCAGCGTCTGGCTGAAGTGCAAGGTCCAGTCCCACTCGTACAGTGTATGGTTGGTCCTGCTGCGCAGATTCACTAACTTCCGACGCCACACCGTATCACTGCCTGACAGCTCGCAGAGTTCCTCATCACCTGTATTCGAAAGTACGTGAAGAACTGCACCGCATGGAAGATGGCGACATCATTGCGCGTGTCGACGAACCCACAGACTGGTGTTCGCCTATGGTGCCCGTCCTCAAACCTAACGGCAAGGTACGCATCTGTGTAGACCTGAAGCGTCTTAATGCGTCTGTCAAGCGGGAGACATTTCAGCTGCCAACGTTAGAAGATGCCCTGTCTTCACTGGCCGGAGCGACTGTGTTCACGACATTGGACACTGCTAACGGATTCTGGCAAGTCCCACTCAGTCCCGACTCTGCCCGTTTGACCACCTTCATCACGCCGTTCGGCAGGTTCTACTTCAAGCGACTGCCATTCGGCATCACATCAGCACCTGAGATTTTCCAGAAGCGTCTCACCAACCTTCTGGACCAGCTCCCCGGCGTGTTCGTCTACATGGACGATATCATTGTCTCTGGCCGTACGCGAGAAGAACACGACCGTAACCTAGCTGCCGTACTAGACATCCTGCAGAAAGCCAACGTCACGCTGAACATGACGAAATGTCACAAGCGTCAGGCCGAAGTGAAGTTCCTTGGTCACATCTTCTCCGCCAAAGGTCTCCACCCTGACCCAGCGAGAGTGTCCAGCGTCGCTAATCTGAAGCCGCCCAAGAACGTCACGGAACTGAAGCGCATTCTCGGCATGTTCGCGTTCATGTCACGCTTCATTCCCAATCTCTCGGAAGTCAGCGCTCCACTGCGTCTTCTACTGGGGCATGACACCGCATGGGAGTGGTCTGCTACACAACAACAGGCCCTGGACAAGCTCAAACAGCTTGCCACCAATGCGCCCTGCCTCACGTTCTTCGACCCAACCAAGCCCACGGTCATCAGCGCTGATGCCAGCAGTTACGGCTTGGGAGCTGTCCTATTGCAGGAGCATGACGACGGAATGCGCCCCATTGCATTTGCCTCACGCAGCCTCACCACTACTGAGCAACAGTACGCGCAGATCGAGAAGGAGTGCTTGGCTGTTGTCTGGGCTTGTGAGCGATTCCACGGCTACATTTACGGCAACTCGTCCCTCACTGTCCAGACGGATCACAAACCACTCATCCCGCTGATCAATACGCGTGATTTGAACCGTGTCCCGATGCGATGTCAACGCCTCCTGATGCGCCTGCTCACGTACAATCCAGCCGCCGTGTATGTCCCTGGCAAAGAGCTAGTTGTTGCCGATGCTCTGTCTCGCGCTCCGCTCGCCTGTGACGACACGCCTAGTCTCCAAGACGAGATCAGCATCAACCTCGCATCTTACATCGGCGAGATCGTGTCGGATGGTAAAGCCCGTGACATTGCTGACGCCACCACACAAGATGAGACGCTCAAGCAAGTCCTCCACTTCGTCCAACACGGATGGCCGTGCAACCCACGTGATGTCGACGACACTGTGCGCCCATACTTCCATGAACGCCAGTTACTGTCCTGTGAGCAAGGTGTGCTGTACCATGGCTTCCGCATTGTCATGCCACCCTCTCTGCAGCCTGAGATGCTCGAGAAGCTCCACGAGGGACATCAAGGTGCAACGAAGTGCAAGTCTCGCACCCGCCATTCCATTTGGTGGCCAGGCTTGTCAAGGCAAATCGACACGATGGTCGCTACGTGTGAAGTGTGCACCAAACACCGCGTCCAGTCGACCGAACCACTGCGACCCGTCCAACGCCCAACACTGCCGTGGAACACGGTTGGTGCAGATCTGATGGAATTCAACGGCACGACTTACCTCGTCATTGTTGACTATCTCTCGCGTTACCTCGATGTCGTACCGCTGACTGCCACAACCTCGATTGCTGTCATCAAGCATCTGCACCGCATCTGTGCCGAGCATGGTTTCCCGTCCACCTTGGTTACAGACAACGGTCCTCAGTTTGCCAGCGAAGCGTTTACTGAGTTCTGCACAGCAAACGACATCACCCATCGCACTTCCAGTCCTCAGTCGAATGGCGAAGCGGAACGTGCAGTTCGCACCGCCAAGAATCTCCTGCGGAAGGCCGAAAGCCTGCAAGATGCACTCTTGGCTTACCGCACGACACCGCTGAGCAACGGCTATGCCCCATGTCAGCTGTTGTATGGCCGCCAGCTCCGTACCGGTCTACCTGCAACGACTGAACAGCTGGAACCGAAATGGCCAGATCTCCCTAGTATTCTGGAATCGGAAACTCAGTCCCAGGAACAGCAGAAGTTGCACTACGACCAACGGCATGCAGCTAAGCCTCTCGCGACTCTACAGCTTCATGACCGTGTATTCATCACCGATCTCGAACGGGAGGGCAAGATAGTAGAGCAAGTGTCCAATCGTTCTTACCTCGTTGAGTCTGGTCACTCTACTGTTCGCCGCAATCGTCGTCACTTGATCCGACTGCCACTGCTAGAAGCAGAGAAGCCGACAGTCGAGGTTGAGTACGGTGGCACAGCAGCTGATCCAGTCCGTCGCTCTGCTAGAGCTCCTCAGCCTGTCAACCGCCTCATTGAATCATGCTAATTCAGCAACGTGCCGAGACGTATCTGCCGTCGTCTCTGCACATCACTCTTTCACTGCAACTTGCTCTACAAACAATACCTACATTATCGAATAGTCTTTGGACTCCTCATCTTCTCTATTATAGCCTGTTTAATCTCAGAGGGGAGATGTAGTGGATGCACATCCCACTGTTTGTCATTGTATCCTTTTATGTAACATGTATGCATTCATCCGGCCGCGCTGTGCGACATGCCAGTTGTACCGTACGCACTTTAGCTGTACTTGCCTGCCTGGCTTTTCCTTTGATCTCTCTGTCGTTCTCTGTATTCCCACACACTTGTGATTTGTAGTAACGAAGCTAGTTACAAGATGTCTTTGGTGCGTTTGTAGAACCACTACATCTCTATTCCATGGTATCTCTATTCCATGGTATCTCTATTCCATGGTATCTCTATTCCATGGTACAGTCAGACCTCGCTTAACCGCACACATCTGTTTTCCACAAAAATATCCGGATAGGCGAGGGAACTGGATAACTGAACACACATACTGGATATGCATGTGGCATGTCAAAAGCAGTGGCGTCATACATACATGTAGACGGGTCCTATGCAGTACAACTAGCGTGCACAGTATGTAAAACAAGCCAGAAAAATGACAAGTGCATGCAGCTGAGTGCTGTCTGCATGTACCCAGCAGGTCAAAGACCTCGTTTGCTTGTACAACTTCCTGATTCTAGCTTCTGCAAGCCACACGCAACCGGATACGACGAAGCTTTTTGTACACATTTTAACCAGTTTGTACGCAAAATCTTGCACCGGTATGCGGATCGCGAGGTCCGGTTATGTTGTATGCATAACATATGCTGCACATCGGTAACCAGCGATTTTCTTCCGGATGGTGAGGGATCCGGATAAACGAGGACCGGATAAGCGAGGTCTGACTGTATCTCTATTCCATGGTATCTCTATTCCATGGTATCTCTATTCCATGGTATCTCTATTCCATGGTATCTCTATTCCATGGTATCTCTATTTTTTCACATCTACATCTATAGACTTTATCTTGCCCGTAAAAGAGGCCGTTACCCCTGGGGAAAAAAATAATTTCTGGCTATAGAGCTGTTGCACACACTGTCACATGACCATAGCGCACAGCCATGTTGGTTGCAACTCCAGTCAACCCCTAGGTAGGCCCAGACAGATCCTGCCGGCAATTCTTTCGGCAAAAATATCGAAGAATTGAAAGAGCGGAAATTGCCGGCAAAATCGGAGCAAAATATCGAGATGTTAGGTAAAATCAATGCCTGATACAGTCTGTATCGGCTATAGAGTGACCGGATATAAGAATATATCGGCTACAGTGATATTGGTACGAAATATCGAAAGCAAAACGTATATTATCCAGTACAAATATCACTATAACCAATATTATCGGATGTAATGATATATCGGATAGTATGATGGCAACAAAGAATCAAAACATGCATAACACACTATATTATTATCGGCTATAGTGATAACTTTAAAATACATGTAGCAATAATATCAAAGGCCCTATTTTTTTACTTTCTTCACGTTGCTTATTTTTATAGTAATAATAACGAGAGAGCTTGGAAGCTCAGGGCCCTACGCTATGCTTTTATGCTTTTTTGCCTAGCTCATCGTACATGTTATAAGAACTGATGGAATTGTCTTTTTCCGTTGATTGGCCACATCACTGTATTGCAAAAACGTTTATTTCGAAGTGAGATTGAGTTGCTATCCTTCTATTTCGAAGTTCATTCTTTTCTCCTTCTCTAGCCAAGAGTAGCTCAAAAATCGATCAATGGTCCGCTGCAGGATCGACTATACTAGTCTATAGCGTTCAAGAAACCCACCTTCTCTCGAAATTTGATTCAAGCCCGTGCGAGGCAAATTGCAAAGGTTTGATTGAAGACGACTTCTTCCAGGTGGCTGACTCTCTTCGCGGATCTCGATGGCCTTTCTTGCCGCGCCAGCTCGTGCGCAGAGATGTTGGCGCACAACAACACCATTGTCGTAAATATTGTCGATGCCTATGCTTCACTTCCGTTCTTCAGAACGACGTGCTGCTGTCCGGCGGCCTTTCATGACGCGGATTAGGCAGCGCAGTTCTTTTCCTTTTCAGGAAAGCTGCAGTGACTGTTACTTCTTCACTAGAAGATGGAGATATTGTCAAAATGATTTTGTATCGATCCAGTGTTTTGATGATCCGTTGTACATGACCGGTACGACCACCTTATGTTTCGTTGATGCAAATAAAAATGTGCAAAAAAATATTCAGCATGCGATTTCAAGCATTTTGACATACATATCAGTGCATGGGGCTGCATTTGGATAATTAGAAGTTCTGGATAATTCGAAGTTAGGGCCTGGCAATTTGAGGTTCGAATTAAAGGGAGTCTACCTGTAGTAGCAAGATCCACTGATTCACTGGTGAAAGAGAAATTTTGACCAAAGAACAAGCTTCACAGTTCTTAGAACATAATGTCTTCCCTCTCATCCTCAACACTACAGAGGAAATCATGGTTGGAGCTGCATAATACAGCAACGCAGCACGAATTTTCGAGTAAAAGTACATTCGAATGTTACTGCCTGCTTTCGAATATTCTTTCTGGTGTCGGTATTCTAGAATATTCCGAATATGCGAATATTCCTTTGCATCACTGGAAAGAGACCAAAGTTATGACTGTTTAATAAGGTGAAGATTGTACTGAAATTTCTAATTCTGTTTCATGCTGTGGTGGTCATCTGTGCACAAAGGGTTGAGCAGTCGTGGGAATACGTGCCATCATTTCTGGTCATGATAGGGTAAACGACTGTCCAACGTCGCTAAATCATACATTCGTTCACTCGTGTCGGGTTCACAGCGGTCAGTTTAACAATACAACAATCCCGGGGCCCTAATCATACACTGGCACACAGTCCTCCCAAGAGAAGACTAACGACACAGGCCTGGCAGCACATTCGCATACTACATGCTGCAGCATGACATTGCCGTTCATACAGCACTCAACTACGCCCCCCAACTCACTTGAACTTAGGCTCAATGACAAAGTTGACTCCACCGAGCTTGGAGTTCAGCTTCAGTACAATGTTGGCACACGTCTTGTCGTTCGCCTTTACGATATTCTGGGAGAGAATAACTTGGCTAGGGATGCCGATCTTGGTGTCACAGATACGCTTGAATTCACCTACATTGTATTTCAATGATGTAGAAATAGAAATAGAAAATAGAAATGGAAAATAGAGTATTTTAAAACTGAAAACGGGGAAAACAGGGGGGGGGGAAGCAGGGGGGGGGGGGGCACAAGCTAACTTAGTTAGACCAGATGTTGAACAGTCAGACGTGCACAATTTAGCCCCAAACTGACAAGGAGTACTGAGACATTGCACAGCATGAAAGTATGGCTGTGTTTACATGAGGCGTTTCAACCCGGGTTGAGTTCGACCCGGGTCAGATTTCAACCCGCCATGTACACAAAATGACTTTCAAAAAAAATTACCACTCTCTTTCACTTCTGGTAGGGTCCAGAAACTGACCGTGGTTGGTCCCCTGGGGGAGGGAGAAAGACCCAAGTGCCATCAGTATGTGTGGCACGTGTTGTGAGCTGCCTTTGGAGTGAAAAACTTGTCAGCGCCTTCTAGGTTCAGCCCGGTCCTATAGCTCAGTGGTTAGAGCATTGCTCATGACAAGCAAGGTCCCGGGTTCGAGTCCTGGTGGGTCTGGCGATTTTTTCTCTTTTCAGGCAGTTCACTTCCCCAACTGATCCTTTTGTATTATTATTACAAAAAATGTATTATCTACGCATGCATTTACACAAGAGTCACCACCAGCCAATTAGGACATGTGTCAAAGTATTGAACGTTTTCGTTCCCTTCTTGTCAAAATACTACAGGGAATGATGGAAATAAGCTAAAAGACTACAACTATAAGGAAAAGAGGTTCAGAGATACATCACTCCAATTATGTGTAGAAGTGACACAAAAAAATAGATGTGAAGAATCAAGAAAACAGCATGCAAATCCAATAAGTGACAAAAACGTAGTGACAAGAAAAAGAGAGAAATATCAAGAGATCAAGGGATCTATTTCGCACCTTCACGACGAACAGTGCCAAACAGCTGCAAAGACAACACATTCTCCTTCTGAACACAAAGCTCAGGGTCTAACTTACGTATGTACAAAGCTTCCAACATGGCAAGATGTAACAAAGACCTACCACGCGACAAAACAGAGAATACATCATCGGAATACCACTCACGACAACTAGCACTGCCCGACAGGTGACACTTGATTGCTGAGGTACCGTTTCCCTGACCCGACGACTTGGCCGTTGTCACCTCCGATCCTGCCGCTTGCGAATCTCTCCCATTACGCCCTGCGTCCCTGCAATTCCGATTGCCTCGGTCGACAGTGTGCTGCTCCACGTCCAGTCTGTCCTGCTTCCGTGGTCTACCTCGTTTC